GCACTGTCTGCCTGGCTTCCCCGAGAGAGAAGGAAATGAGCCCATAACAGTTTTTCTCATTAGGTGGGAGGAGAAATCTACGGTTCCTTAAAAATGAAAGAGGAGGCATACAGCATATCCGGACAGTCTGAACACTTTCTCTCAAGCTGGCTGACCTCTCATGTTTTAAAATGAATTTAATTTTACTACAGTTTACCTGGCAATTTATTCATTTATAATTGTCAAAAATACTGATTCATAAAGTACTTTCTTTTCCTGCATTTCCTTGATAGGAAAAGGTTTTAAACAGTCTTTGACAGCTTTTGTCATCATTTATTTGGTATTGGAATGCTGGTGAGTTTGGAACCTCCGCGGATTTGATTCTGAAATCCAGGCCTGGCGCTCAGTGCGGTACTCAGCTGTGGAGTGAATCTGCTGTCTGGTATTGCACTTCACATCCTAGGAAGGTGACGGGTCCAAGACACACAGGCGCACGGGTCCTGCTGGGCTGCGTGCACCCGTGCACCCTCCGCCTTAGCTGTTCCTAAGGCAGCCCACAGCAACTAGCACACACGCTCGCAGGTGCAGAGCCTGTCTGCAAACAGGTCCAGTCCGAGGGCACCCACGCCCAACTCAGGTCGGGGAGAGGCTGCCTGGCGCATGAGGCCCCTTCGTGGCAATGCTGCAGGGAGAAGCAGCCCCTCTGCGGGTTCCCAGCACAGAAGCAGGGCAGCGCTGTGAGGCGAGGCTGCACCTCGGCCTGGTCTCACTGTCTCCCCAGTTTCCTGGGACCTTTCCAGCTGCTGTGGGGTGGTCGGGACTGCCCAGGCACAGAGAGCCAGGGCAGCAGAGTCGGTGTCCAGGCCCAGGTGCCCAGGCTCTGTGGTCCCCACGCTCACCTTGCTCCAGGGCCATGCTGGTTTCTGTGCTTGTCCTGTACGACACTCATCCACACCCCATCTCTTCACCCTCCACGGTGGATCAAATGAAAGCTGAATATTTAATTAAAGAATAATTATTGTAAAGGACACATTGCCATGGATGCCCTCAAATATCTCATTTCAAACACTCATCGCATCGTCCTTGCCACTTTCTGCAGCAGCTCTGGAGTCCTCTTTTGTGAGGGTTTAGCCACTCTGTCCTGGCTGCCTGAGTGTCCTGAGTGGATTCAAGATCTTGCCTGTTCGCAGTCAGCTTGGCTTTGGGAAGAGCAGAAGTCACATGGTACCAGATGTGGTGAATAAAGTGGCAGAGGACACAGCATCGTGTTAGATCTTACCAGAAATTACTGTAAGCCTTTGACCAACTTAGGGTGATCATGCAAGATGATGAATATTTAAATCTTAAAATTTATCACAGTAAGACACACTTTGCCGTTGACCCCTCAGAAAACTCAGAGCAGTCTGCTTTGACACGCTCATCCCACTGTTCTTGGTGATGTGTCTTTCACCATAATAGATTTTTAAATTTAACTTTCAATATACTTTTCAATTATTCTTGAAATTACCCTGTTTTGACTAATGTCATGTAATAAAAATGTCCCAATAAAAAGATGCATGATGTCATATTTATTATTTACTGACACTCCTTTATGTGAGATATGTATGCATTCCACCTACAGCTTCTATTCTCTCTCTCTGTCTCTCTCTGTCTCTCCCTCCCTCCCCCTTTCTCAGTACTGATGTTTGGGGAAGATATTTAAAAGTTAGGACTATATGACGGAAGCATTCCCCTTTCTCTAAATAGTGTCTTCTTAAAGTGAAGCACATTGTTTTGTACAACATTTACATGTTCTATTCCTATTTTTCCCTCCAGTTTTTCTGGAAGAAAAAGCCCTCCAGATTTTCCATTTTCCTGGCCTGACTGAAAGCGGCTCCCTGTGGTCCCGGGCCGGGAGCCTGAGGCCCTCGGTCTCCAGCCGTCAGAAATGTAGAGAGCTGGGGGTCACAGATAGGAGAAGGAAGCACCTGCTTCCAAGCAGCCAAGCAGAGGAGCCGGCTGACCTGTGTGTGAGGCCGGACGCGCTTGTGCGGCAATGCAGCCCCAGCCGCACAGCCGCCTGTGCCTCTGCCTTCTCGGGCGTTCAAGGCGCGGACTTGGGGTCCTCAGAGCCCTCTCCGCACAGTGACTCCAGACCCCCTGCTGGCACCGGGATGGGCCCAGGTGGGCGGCCAGGTCGTCCTGCCAAGCCTGGTGCCCAGCAGGCAGCTAGCGGAGTCCCTCAGACAGCATCCCAAGCAGCGAGTTTCCCGTGGCACCATGGGGCGGCCGAGTTCCCAGCAGCCCTGGTGCCTGGCAACCCCAGCCGGGAGCCAAAGGCCTGTGGGTGTGAACTGTGTCCAGGTGTTTGCAAGCAAGAGAAAGAAAGCTTAGGGACGTGAGCTTCCCCTTCTCTTCTCCGTGAGCCTTCCCGTGCTTATGAAGGGGTGCAGCATGGCATTTGGGATGCATGCGGTGGTAACGTGGTTGCTACGGTGAAGTAAATCAGTGCAGTCATCTCAGCACTTGGTCTCCATCATGTGTCTTGCCTTTTACAATAAGAACAGTGGAAATCACCTCATCAGACAGAATCCCACATGCAGTAGTTTTCTGCCTTCCATTCCGTATTTTTCTTTGCCTGTTTATCTACTTCACATCTTGTCCTCTAGGCTCACCCACACTGTGGCAAGTAGCAATATCTTGTACTTTTTCAGGGCTGAATAATGTTCCACTGGCAGCAGTGAGTGACAGCGGGTCCCCCTGTGTGGATTGCTGGCTTGTTTTCCAGGGTGCAAAAACAGCCACCAAGGCCAAGCCTGTGTGTTGGAGAACACAGTCTCCTGCATCCTCAGAACTTCACCGCCCCACTTCTATCATGAATCATCCAAACAAGATTATAGGTGTTTTATTCTCTCTCTCCCTCTGGTCCTCTTTGAGAAGATTAAAACCGCAGTATTAACCCATTTCTGAAAATCTCCAGACTTCCTTCAACATAGGAGTAGCGTTGGCATCAACATGCTCCCTTAGCAGATCTCTCTCTTCTCCCACCAGTGCGTCCTCTGATGCACAGGCCCCTTGCTGCGCTTGCTGATGTCCACGGCCAGCTTTGGCCCCAAAGTCTTCTGTCTTGGAGGAGGGGGAGACGGAGGGAGGGGAGAGAAAGGAGTTTTTATTCAGCACGTTGTTATAGTTCTTTTCTTACTTGTTTTTGTCTTTGCTGGTGTGCTGTGTTTATCAACCGAAGGCTGTGGCTGTTTACAGCGCTCAGTGCGTTCGGGTTTCAGGTGCCTGCGGGAGCTTGAGATTCTCTTCTTGGAGTGAGCAGGGACCCTGCACTTTCCACTCCTGCACACGAGCTTCTCTGCTCGGTCTCTTTCTGCATTTTCAGCTGCAGTACTATTTCCTGAGCATACTAGTTTTCAAACTTTTGCACACGTATGCACACTTGCTTAAGTATAAATATTTGTGATCCGTACCTCGTCAGATGTTATACTCAAGAAAAATTGTGAAAAGGCATAATGCTTACTATAAAAGAGCTTACAGCCTAATAGAAAGAGATGCAACAAACTAGGATAAGATAATTAAAAAGGAAGCCAAGTCTCATTTTCATGAGGAAAGAGGTAGCAAAGGAGAGTTTGAGATTTGCCGCAATATGGTACTGCCTCCAGATGCCTTCGTATTTCCAGGCTGACGCTGAATCCTTTGCAAAAACAGAGCTTGTAAAAGAGCGTTAAATAATTAAAACTTCCAAGTCAATGCTAGCAGCATGTATTTTGTTGAAATGAAATGCGTTTGATTTGAAATATGCACTGGGATTCCAGTGGAGTAACAGACCTAGCAGGCTAAGGGCTTTCTGGAAAAGGCAGTCTTGCTGGAAATTCTGCAAGTATCCTGGCCAGAGAAGGTATTACCTATCTTGTTAAGTAAAGCACTTGAATACCCACACAACTTAAGTAATCACTTTATCTGAAAACACCTAAGAGGAATAAGTGTAAGAATTTTAATTGCCACTTTTCTCAAATTTTACCCTAATTGATTTTACTATTGTGTAATGCTAGAAAGCCTTCTCTTAAAATTTATTTGTACTTAGGACTGTTAAATTGCCGTGGGGGGCTAGGTGAGACTTTTGCAGCATTTTGGGTACATCTGACTCAGTTATAGTGAGCTTGAGTAGAATGCAGTACTACCATTCCGGGAAAAAAAACAAAATAAAAAACACAGCTATGGGTTTTTAGCTAATTCTTCCAGGATGCAAAAAGGAATTGTCTGGTCAGTTCTGAGCACAGCGGATCGTGATGCATCAGGATGAACCTGAGCTGGCACTGGAAGAAGTGGCTGTGGTTTTAACTCGCAACATTCATTTTCAGTCTTCTCCTTTCGGAATCATGCACACCCGCAGCACCCTGCAGTTTGCATAGGCTTCAGCATATTCGTAGCTCGTGTGGCAGCAGTGTGGTTTCACACCTCTGTTGCTAACAAGCGACTGCCTTTGCCGGCGCTGTGCCTGGCACCAAGGCTCCGTGCGGCAGCTGCCGTCTCCTAGGTCTGTTCCCGAGGCCTTGGTGGGTTACATCCCCTCAGGCGGGGTGATTAGCTTCCTAACAGTAGCGATGCAGTGTGACTACATAGTTGTCTGTGCCTATAAATCCGGTAATAAATATACAGATATGCACTCTGTGTGTGTGTGTGTGTGTGTGTGTGTGTGTGTGGGTGAAAGCAGAAGGAATGAGGGGTTCTGATTTCATGGAAATTAATCTCCAAATTGGATTTCAGCTACACAGTCACTACTCCCAGTTTATGAGAAGCTGAGACAACTGTGTGGGTACGCTGTACACAGGGGCTCACTTTCCCGCTGAAGGGAGCCCCCGTGAGCCATACACCTTGGTGGGAGTGGTCGCCCTCGCGCAGCAGTCCACCTGTAAGGTCGCCTCGCCCTCCCTCGTTGTCACTGACCGAAGCTAGTGAGTGGGCGGCAGAGGGACCCATGAGCCAGGCGTTCCCCCCCCCCACAGAGCGCTGCTGATGCTCCTCTTCCTTTCCAGCGGTTCCGTGCCCCAGCATCGAGGCGCAGCTGTCCGAACACGTCCTCTGGAGACTGGTGTCTGGGTCGCTGAATGAGTACGGAGCCCAGGTCCTGCTGAGCTGCAGCCCTGGCTACTACTTAGAGGGCCGCAGGCTGCTCCAGTGCCAGGCGAACGGGACCTGGAGCTTGGGGCATGAGAGGCCCCGCTGCAAAGGTGAGTGGGGCCGTGCCCAGCACTCGGGTGTTCTCAACGCCAGGGGCCCACTCTGGGCATCGCCACCTCCTGGAGCTTGGAGAGGATGAAGTCGGTGTCCTACCTGTGGGTGTGTGGGCCAGTGTGGCCTCCTAGGCGTGTGACTGCTGCAGTAGAAGCTTTGTGTTCCTTGTTAGTGATCTTATTGTATAAACTGTAAGCTATTAGAATACTCACACATTTCATATGAGCTCGGAGATGGATCAAAGCTCACGTTCCGAGAGATAACCGTTCATCAGGGTCTCGGAGTCACTGTTTATGCTGTGCTCCCTGCGCTGTCACAATGGCTGGCTCGAAAGAGAGCGTATTATTCTGTCCAGTACAAGATAAGCCGTGCGGTCTGTGGGTGAGCTTCATAATAAATGTGAATAAATAGGAAAGTAAGACAATGAGGGTATTGTTCAGAGCACTGCTTGATTCAGGCGTCTTTATTATCTGATCGTTAGTTGATTGTTGACAGTAAATTATTATGCACAGAGACAAGTCACTGGACCGGTGTGAAATTTATGAAACACACAGCTTAGCAAGAAAAAACAAGAATGAAACAGAAAACAATGGGATGGATGCGTAGCAGCCGGAGATGGAACTTTAACTAGACCTCTGGTAGAGCCCGTGGAAGGCGGCCGTTCCACAAGCTCTGCCGGGCGCAAAGTCAGGATGGATGCAGACAAGGAGCTCGGTCCTTGCTGGCGCAGGGCGCTTCCCTCCCCAGGCAGCCCACCTGGAGGTGGCTTCCAGTGCCATGGCTAAAGGCTCTCCTCCCCTGCAGGCGCTGACTCGGGTGCGCCACCCAAGCCTGGCTGGTCCCTGCGTGGCAGTGAGTTTCCTTACCTTTCCATGTCCGCCCCACAGTTTAGGCTGCCTCACCCACACTGCTGAGAGCGCCCCACACCTCCCCACTCTGCGATGTGTGGACCCTCCACAAAGACCCACGGGAGGGCAGAGGACAGGCACTAGGAGCGCTGACCTCTGGCTGGCTCAGGCTCTGCCAGCAGCCATGCCGTCTTTTAAATTTACTTTTATTTGTCCATGTCTGCAGTGCATGATGACGGCACTTCTTGTGTGGGGTCGGTGCTTGTGCATAACAAGTCTTCATTCCTTTTGCACCCCATTTCCCACCTCCCCTCCCCTTCTCCTTCTCTCCACCCCTTCCCATTTGAGAAAGATCCATCTCTCTGCTTCCTGTTACCTATCTTTTATCTTGCTTCTTATTTATACTGTATTGAAGCTTGTATGTCTGATTTATGTCACTGAACCTTTTGGTCTCAAGATGCACCTATTTTCCTACAAATGACCCAAGTTTATCCTTCTTTATGGCAGAGTAGTACTCCACTGTGTATAAATACATTTTCTTCATTCATTCATCTGCTCATGGACATATAGGCGCTTCCAAGATTTAGCTATTATGAATTGTGCTGCTGTAAACACGGGCATGCATGGATCACTGTGATATGATGCCTTTAACACTTTTAGGAAGATACCCAGAAGGGGAAGAGCTGGGTCAAATAAAATTCCTACTTTTAATGAGCACCATAAAGAAATCAGGTACTAACAAATGCTGGAGAGGCTGCAGGTAGAGAGGAACCCTTCTCTGCTGTTGGTGATAGTGTGAACTAATACAACCATTGCAGAGATTCTTCAACATACCTTCTGTCAGGTTCAAGCCAGAAGCAGGTCTTAAAAAAAGACATCAACTTCTTGGGGTGCATTATAAGGGGCTTCTGGGGGTGCACAGGCCCAGCACACATCTGCAACCTCCTGAGTCCATGGGGACCCCCACCTGTCCGACCATTATGTCACTTTTCCCCAGGGCAGGGGCTGGTGTTTGCTGTACGCCAGGTTTATTCCCACATTGCCATTCTGGAGGAGATCCTTCAGGCTAAGGGACACCCACAGAAATCGGGCCTCCTGGTCTTGAAGCCAGTGTCCTCAGCAGCGAGGTGCATCCCACAGTTCTAGGGATCCTGCCTTCTGGACCTAAGGTCCCACCCTGTCCTGCTGGTTCTGATGCTGACTGTGATGTAGGAACAGCCACCATACACACCCGATGTCCAGTGAGGGACACACAGCCATGGCCACTTACCAGCCCTGTGGACCTGGGGCTGAGGGCACACCGCAGTGGCCCACTGTCCTGGGTCTCTTTGTACTTCTCAGGAAGGTGGCTTTTCAGAGTTAGTGGACTCCAGCAGAAGTCATTGTTTGCTCTGAGTTTTGTGGTTCAGCTTTTCACTGTTTGTCTAGAGGAGCGTCTTCTACACTACTTCCTTGTTTTGTCCCTCAGATGTGTTTGAAATTCCCGTTTCCTCACGAGGACAGCATGTTTGATGTACACCTGACCTTGCTGTACCCAAATGTGCCATCCAGGCTCTCCGGGGCCCCCGGCTGGGGAGTGGCTTAGAGACGAGTCTGTCTGCTATCTCTTCCCCACAAGCCCTAAGACTGATATTGTCAATTTATTTCTATCTCTATTGATTTTTTTTAAAATGTCCCCACAAAAGAGCTTACCATATGCCTTTTCTGCCTTTCAGGGGCACAGATGTGTCCCAGTGGGCATTATGTGGGTGGAGGTGTTGCCCACGGTCCGGGTCTCTCCCTCTTGCTGTCTGTGCAGGTGACCCAGAGCCCAGAGGCCCAGGACTTGCTGGGGAGGTGACCCTGGCTCCTTAGCAGTGGCACATCTCAGTACCTGTGTGTCCCTACCCCAGAGCTCTCGCTAGGCAGCCTGTCGTCCAGCGCCGCAGCACCCTGTGGGGCCGAGGTTCTGTGGCAGAGGTTGGGCGTCTTGGCCGATGCCTGCTGGGCCCACATGGCCTCACCTGGAGTCAGGCCAGCTCCACTCTGAGCGGGCAGAGCAGGCTCTGCATGGCATGGTCCTCATGGCCTCACCGTGAGATGAGGCGTCCACTCGAGCACCAGGCAGTGAGGTGCTGTGGGTCCTCAAGCGTACTGGGTACCCAAAGGAGAACACCGAGCACTGAGCAATTACTTCAGAAGAACACAAAGGTCGGGTCTGGGGTCGGATCTCGGGCTCCGGGACACAGGCAGGGTGAGGAAAGGCGCAGCAGAGACGAGGAGAGCCCCTCACTCGCTAGTGTGAAATCTAATGTTTACCTCCGCGGGTGCCAGTGTCCCTGTGCATTTCTCACGACCGACTCTAGTTCAATATGTGCTGTTATTACTTTTATTCATTTAGGACAAATACTGAGTTTCACAAGCCCATAACCCTCTAGATTCTCGAAAGTCAGTTGAAAATATCAGAATAAAAGAATAACTGCCAAAATAATAGGTAAGACCTTAGCTTTCAAAAAATAAAGTGGCTGTTTCTGGTGGTATCTGCCTGTAACCCCAGAACTCTGGAAGGCTGAGGCATGAGGGTTGCAGTTTCAAGACCAGCCTGGGCAATATTATAACCTGGCAAAACCCTGTCTCAAAACAAAATATCTTGGAAGGGCTGGGGATACAGCTCAGTGGAAGGCACTGGGTTTGATTTCCCAGTACCACAAAAAATAAAATAAAATGAACACATAAGCAGGCAAATAAAACAAGAAAACATAAAGTGAAAACTATTTGTACAACCTTAGGATTACATTATTTTCTAGGACTGACAAGAAAAAGCTCATGAAATATGTGATTTCCTTTTGCTATAACACATTTTTGTTGCATTTTATACTCGAATTCCCTTTATCTCTCTTGGACCCCCTTGGCCCACATGCATACAGTGAAGCACAATAAGAAGTCTGCCAGTAATAGATTTTACTAATACAAGAAATGAAAAAAACCAGGAAGTTCAATGCCATTTAAATTCTTCACTGAAATAATTAAGATGACCCGTTTTCACACGCCTGACCCGTCCCTGTGGCGGTTTCTCTGCTGAGGAAACACAGTCACCTCCAGAATGAGCGACCCAGCAGCCTCTCCAGGTAGAGCTGAGGTCTGTCCTCTTGTGACTTCCGGTAGTAATCTGTTCCTGACCTGGAGGCAGCTCTGCCCGAGCGATCTCCAGGGACTCATTGCTTCCGGGTGCCCATCTGATGAGGCTGAGGCACTGGGATTTCCTGAGCTGCTGCTTGCCCAGTCTCGAAGGAGCGGCTACAGCGAGTGCATAACGGGCTCCACTCTCCAAGGGTGAGCAGCAGACACCTTGGTCTCACCCTGGAACTGCTGGCTGTGTGTGGCCTAAACCCCAGGACACAATAACAGAATTGAAGTTCAACATCCAGGGGGACCCAAGCCTTTCCAGATCAAAGTCTTCATGAAACAGCAAGCCTTTATTGTTCGACTCATGATTTATATTTTAAAAGTAAAAATACATTTCTTGCAGAAACCCATGATCAGAAAAAATCATTTTTGCATTTTAAATTTTACATGCATACGTAGACATAAGAGCGCCATTGGAATTTTCTCAAATACTCAGAGCACTGCCTAAATTCTGGAAGGTGTGCCTTTACCTAACTGCTCATTTAAGAGTTTTCTGAAAGGAGATCTTGGTCAAACTGTAGAGCGAAGAGGCAGGCTGGACATTGGCAGCTTCTCATCTGAAGGTGTCCACTGAGCTGGACTCATCACTACACACGGCAGGTGTCCATCAGCACTCGTGCGCCCTCCACACCTGAGGCCTGGGATGGCTCTGTTCTGGAGTGCCCATTCAGCCTCACCTGGCCTTGCACTGAATTTCATGCGTAATATCCTCACAAGGAGAGGCCCAGCTGACATCGGTTTTCTAGGACGGCTCACTGTCCGGAGACACCTACTCTCAGCTTTGACTCCTTCCCATGGGCCAAGGTCTCCCTTTGGTACACATGGAGCTGACCATAGCTCTGGACACAAAAACCTCACAGAGCAATTCCAGACTCAGGTGGACAAAGCCCATCGGAGGCCTGTGCATGTCGTGACATGCAGGCACTGCTCCTGCACCGAAGGAGACTCCTGAGCCTGCCCTTGCAGGTACACAGCCCCATCCCTCCCACAGCACGTGCCCCTGGGGCCTGGGGCCACTGCATGTCCAGGTTTTCACCCCACAGAGCACATTGACAGCGCCTGCCTGTGAGACTGCGCACAGGTAACATCCATGTTGCTGACCCCGCAGGAGGGTCACTGAGAGGCCCAGCACCGACACTTTACAGCAGATTTCGCTAGAATTCCCGTGCCGAGCTGCAGCAAGGAGAGCCCTCCTTGTGCTTATGTGGCAGGAGGCAGGTGGCTGTGATGCTTCATCCTAGAGGCTTGAAGCGGGGTGTGCAGAGCTAGAGCGGGGGTCCTGGTGCATGCTCTGGCTCTGCTGCATGCCTCTCATGTGCAGTTCCCCTTGAGCTCAGAGGGAACCCCCAGACTGTGAGCATGAGTGCATTCTCAATGGGAGGGAGAAAAGCAAACTTAATGAATTCATTTCTGAAAACTTAGGAGCAAAAAGTAGCATGGAAATCAGGCCTTCTCCCTGATGCTTGACAGAGGTTATTTTTGCCACCAGCGGGCTCTCCCTTCTAACTAGCCTGGCGTGCCCAAACTGTGACTGCCCCGTCCTCCGCCATGACTCGGGTTTTCTACCAAAGGAAACTCTGGGTCTGAAGTCCCATACAGCTGCTGAGAAGCTCAAGTTCTGCTCCATCCGTTCTTTGCATTGAGTCAACCTGATTAGAGGACAGTCTGAAAATAGCTTCACCACAGGAAGCCTGCGGAGAGGCTGGGAGGACAGAAGCAGACACAGATGTGAGGCTCGTCTGGCTGGCCCATGGTTCGAGACACAGAGACACACTCAGTCTGCACTGTCTTTCAACGCATTCTGACAGGCTGTGAAGTTCAAAACACGACTCATTTGCTTAAATGGCTACAAATGCATCGCTAAATATCAGAGTTCACAGCAAAGTTCACACTGTGTTTGGGAAAAGGCGTAGAGAAAAGTTCATGGCAAATTGTACAAATCTGAGTCCTGTCGGCATTCACCGGCTTCGGTGCAGGAGCCGTGCCTGCATGTCACGACACGCACAGGCCTCAGGCCAGGCGGGCTTGGCAGGCCCAGAGCTGGGCACAGTGCAGGCTTTCTCAGCCACAAGATGTGCTCAGAGCTGCACTCCCGGGCCCCTTCCATCACACCCGACCTGACTGATCATCTTAAGACCAGCTGCGCTCACATCTTAGAGGAAGGGCAGCTTCAGGGAAAGGGCTGGCCTCGGTGGCATGTACACCAAGATTTCCTTGCTTGAATTTTCCAGAAGGGTCTGTGTCCTGATGTGTCGCAGCCCCATCACTGACTCTTGCTGACCCAGCCGTGTGCTGGTCATGGCCTTGAGCACTGACCTCGCTCCCTGCTGTGGGTCCACCCACACCCGCATCTGGCAGGGGCTGCTTCCACCCTCCCAGGGCTGGAGACGCAGGAGACTGGCCGCACTCCTAGCCAGGAAGTGCAGCGCCGGCATGGAACCCGGGTCATCTGTGACCAGCCTCTGCCTTCACCGCTGTGCTTCGCCGCCTCTGCCCACTAATTCTAACTGTACACCAGGACTCAGGACTGGCTTCCCCTCCCAGCATAGCCCATGTCCTCATGCACTTGGTGCCCCCACACTTCCTGGAACTAGCTCTCCAGGACTCTGTTCTTACGGGGTGGTGCCCACCTGAGCTTCCGCTGATCAGCCGTCCTGACAACTTGGGACCTTCTTCCTTCGAGAGACTGTGGGTCACTTTGTGCTACACTGTTTCTCAGGTTTAAGCACAGACATGTCCATGGTGTCAAACTACCTCTAATGTGTCTCCCTAATGCAGTGATTTTGTGTGTGTGACAGTGGACAAGTTCAGTGCTATGCGGGGACATCAGGTACACCTTTGGGCTCACAGTCACCCTACCCACAACCACAGAAGGTACAGTTTGTGTATGAACCAAACAAGGTTCTGAGGCTGCCTGTGTCCTTTATGGCTGGCCTTTCAGGGCTCTCATGATCCCCAAAATTAGAAAACATCAACTCAGCAAGTCCTTGCTGTCTGGAGTCCCAGATCTTAAGGCCACACTACTTAGTCTCACCCGGCTGACTGGCAAAGCGTTGGCATTCCCAGATTCTCGGTGGGCTCACAGGGGTGCCCCCAGCAACGATGTCACTCTTAGGATTGGTGATGGACAGACAGGTGGACAGGTGGCCACCGTGTCTAACAGGTGTGTTTTAGACTGTGTAATTTTTATTAAGAAAGCACCCATGAGGATGAGAAAAGAGTGGTAGGTAATCACAGGGATATAGAATATTTTTGGATCCATTCATGATATTCTAGTTTCCATTTCAAGAATGTAAGGGAAAGAAAATTAACCTTCTGAGATGACTGGTCTCTCCAAGCCTCTCTGCTCCTCCCTGCTCCATGCTCCTAAGCAGTATTAACACTCAAGGCTTTTTGCTCTGTGCCTGAAGCAGTGTCCACTTCCTTTCCCCTCCAGTGATCTCGTGTGGGAGCCTGTCCTTTCCCCCAAATGGTAACAAGATCGGGACGCTGACGGTGTATGGGGCCACCGCCATCTTCACCTGCAACACGGGCTACACGCTGGTGGGCTCGCACGTCCGAGAGTGCTTGGCCAACGGCCTCTGGAGCGGCTCAGAAACACGCTGTCTGGGTAAGTTGAGTGGGCCCTCTCTTACTTCCTACTTGGAGCTTTGGCAGCCCCCTGGAATATGTGACTTCCTGATAGATCTAAAAGGACATTGTTTTTAATCTGAGCAATGAAGTGGTCCTATGTTGCTTTATGTGACAGAAAAATATTCTACCCAAGGCTGAGAACATAACTGCAGTCAAAACCACCAGATGCTGGAATGTGTAAACGTGAATGTCAGAAGAATTACAAGAAATAGATCTTTTGCAAATGGGAAGGAGACCAGAAAAGGCAGGGAAGGGGGAGGGATGTAAAGAAGAATGAAGACCTGTCCTACCAAATACCCATGCTGAAAGTGCTCTTTATGAATCACAAACATGCGCTAATGAATTTTTTAAAATTATGTCAAGAAGTTGAGTGACATTAATTGAAATCTAAGTATGCACAGATAATTATTTAGTCTGTGATCACCATGGTGGCCCTGTGCCTTCCTAGCTGCTCCTTTGAAGCCATGGCCATTGAGCAGCTCCTTTCTGCAGGCTGCTCTGGTGTTGGCTAGGTCTTCTCACTCCTCAGCACTGATTAAGGTAGCAACGCACTAACAACATACATGATCAGAAACACACGCATCTCCAATAGCAACCACACAGATGGAGTTCAACAATGAACGGCATTTGATCACTGTACCACTTAAGGTAGTTGCATTCCCGACTCCATCTTACTGTCGCCAGTAAGGGAGGCAGACGAGGCTGGAGTGCAGCCTAGAGAGTTTACGCTGCACCTTCTGGGTCAGCCGGAGTCTTCTGGGTGCCCCCTAAGCCCTTGCCTACTTTGTGCGGTGCTGCTGGAAGGGGAGGGATGGCAGTGGGAAGACGAGGTGTGCATAAAGACGTGCCTGCTGAAGCTCCCAAGCCTGGCCTCAGCGGGCTGCAAAGCCTCAGAGAAGCTTTGGCAAGATGACTCGCTCAGAACTGAATTTATTTACTTAGAAGGGACTTAAACTGAAAATAAACAGATCCAGATTATAATGTGAAAAGCAGTGTTGTAGAAATTAAATGCAGCATACAACAAATAAAATTGGAGAAGACACAGAGTATCTACAAGAAAAAAAGCACTTAGAAGAGGACTAGAACTGGTACATTTTTCTGTATGTACACACACCAGTGAGTAAACAGTGGGGACGCATTTAGTGTGCAGATTTTGAAAGTGAGTCAGCACAGGTTCATGATCACCACTGAGACTAGCAGGGTTGCAATTTGCAGTGTCCTTCACCCAGGGTGAAGCAAGTCTCTCTACCAGAGTGACAGCTGCTGGGAGGCAGATGGCATGAAGTCACCAGCCCGATGTGACCCAGTGGAGGCCACCTCATGGATGTGGGTGCAGAGCTGGGCAGGGAGAGTCAGAGGAGGCACCACGGGTAGGGGTGTTTATGAGATGCACAGACAATGAGCTCACGGGGCTCTGACCCTAAACCTGGCACCGATACGTCACAGAGCACACAGTGGAAACCTCCACAACCCAATTCTAACCCAAGCCTTACTGGGAGACGAGGTGTCTGAAGGATTCCATTTACTGAGGAGTTAAATCGTACAAGACGTCGTTGGATTTTATCTTATTGAGTCCTCACTAGAACATGTGGTAAATTCTTATTACTCCTATTTACAGATGCAAGAAGTTTAGAGAAGTGATGGATTTGTAGAACTTAACGAAGTTCAGGAATACCAAAAACAGCACTTAAACTTAGATAGGGTGGTCACAGAGCAAAGACTTCTGAACATTCAGTCCGTGATGGCAGCATCTGAGTCCCTTCAGTGCCCCTTTCTCAGTTCTATCTTGCAGGAGGAGCAGGTCATATAGAATGCTGCCCTCTCCAGCTAATTCCATCCAGGGAGGCGCGATCTACTGCTTAACTGGAAGGGAACGAAGCTCTCTCATCCATGTGACCTCACATCCCGAGATGCAGGGAAGACAGAGGCCTTCCGCCATATGCCACGTGGCTAATTACTGCTCCCAGTACTCATAGACTCCCTTATTCACCTTGTCATTATTTTTCTTCCATTTCATAACTTGTAAGCTGAATAGCCCTTTCCCATTTCCACCACTGTGATCTTGAAAAACCTCTAGGTCTAGCAAGGTAAGTGACCTCGGTTAAGCTTCAAGATTACCTGGACGTGACAGATATAATCAAGATGGTCAGGGTACAAAATTTACATGTACTAACGATGGAGGCATTTTGTGATGATGTTTTAAATTTAGAAAGCAATCTATATAATTCCATGACTTCAAGTCTAAAAGAAATTTCCCCACCCAACAAAACAAGGTAACAGCCTAAAAATTATAATCGAAAAACAAATCACTCCAGTGAGGAACACAGGGGGAATTCCTGATAGACACAGTTAGGACGTTCAACAGGAAACTTGCTTTTCAAACAGAGTAACTCTCCTTGTGTATGTTCAAGAGAATAAAACACAGTTTTAAGGACAGTGTCTTAACAGACAAAACCACCATGAGTTGGGACCAAGGAAGCAGACCAGGAATCATAAAAAAGCTGTATAAATTGTGTCTGAAATACAAACCAAACTCACTCATTACAGTTGGTATTAAAATAATGGACCACACAAGCAAGCAACACAGAAAGCCTGGCCCCTTCTTAGCTCTGCCTTTTGTGTCAAGAAGAGTTCTTCTGGCAATATGAAGCCAGTAGTTCGGGTTTTTGGCTTAGATCAAGCTCCCTTGTGCAAATTCTGCCTTGATGCTCATGCTGTGCAAGGCTGCTATTTGCACTCGCCCCTGCGTGCCTCAGAATGCCACATGCATGTGATATGCTGTGATTCGCAGCAGAGATGAGTAACCCAGTCTCTGGTCATTACACACAGTGGATAAGCTCGTGGATGGACAACGTTGTCACAAGCTGAGTGCTGTGGGTATCACTCCAGGAAAGCTGTGTGTACAGAGGAGGAGGTTAATTTTCTTTGCCTCAGGTTGGAGAACAGAATCTCTCCTGTGTGGGAGCTTCTCATGTGAATTCTAGTCCAGAACTCTGACAGAGGGTGGGATAAGTGTGCACAGAGTAGACCGTGTCAGGCAGTGGTGTACTTGTGCTTCCGAGCACCTTCTTACAAAAGCTGCTCCACGCTGAGTCTGGACTTTCCTTGCTGCTTATTGAAGGGATCTCCTGGGGTCTTCAGAATCACCAAGGGTTTGTCCTGCTTTATCATCTACACTACACAGCACTGCGGAGCCCGGCAGGCTGGAGACTGTTCCCCACCTGCTCCACAGCCCCTCAGCCCCCAGGGCAGCTCCGGGATCCCCGTGCTCCCTGTACTGTCCTCTTGTGTTTCTCCTGCCCCTGGTCATTTGCCTTCACTGGACTGGGAGCCCAAGCAGTAGACGGAAGTAGCATATTTGTAGTCCAGGCCTCCTGTGGTAGAAGCCTGCATGAGCCTTCGGTAACATTTACCTCACTTAGACTTTCAACACGTAATGACCCATCATCTCTCCCACTGCGCTACCTCTTAATCTGTCATGTTCAGGAGGCTGTGATGGAGATATTTCCCTCACAAGGAGAGCCACTTTTTGTGAGCTTGCATTGTTATTCTCCGAAGGTCACATTTGCTGCACTGTAATGATCACAAAGAGGTGAATCCTACTGCAACTGTAACTTCACGATGACATTCTGATGGCTAAAATGGCCAAACACTGTGCTCAGAACAACCCTTTGACCTTTCCTGTAGTTCTCAGAGAATAAAACTGAAATATATTCTCCAAATGCACTCTGTATTTTTAGGAGGTCCATGTAAAAACCATTTACTAAATAACTAAAATATTTATGTTATAGCAAAAAGAAAAACAGATGATATTAGAGCAGGAAGACTTCTCCTCTTTTGATAGCTGCTGTAATGATTTTAAGTGTAAAGTATGTACTGTATGTTAGTCAGGGAAGATAAAATATTTGCAAATATGCAGCACAAAACTTCATCCTTTGCATATGCAATGCTGTCGTGTAGGAAAGAGGAGCAGCGTCTGTGACTGTCTAAGGATAGTTCTGAAGATTATCAAATATCATTCCTTCAGTTCCTCAAGAACTACTGAGTAGCATGGAAAGGATAATAAGACACTCAAGATCTTTTGTGTGGAATCTATAATCTAAGAAAGAAGTAAGGGAAATGCGCAGGACCTTCAATGAGATGTTGGGAGTCTGCTCTGCACAGATGGTCACAGCGGAGGACTCTGGTCAGGTGGAAGGTGAGGCTGGGGTTGTGGAGGGAGACTCACCTGGTACCAGAGATACCTGAGCTAGGTGAAGCAATGGCTCCATCCTATCCTTATTGGAATGTGGAGCTGCACTTAGAAATCATTCTCACGGTGACAATGGACAGGGAAAATGGATTGCAGTGCTGTCCACTGAGTTCAACACATCTACAAAGACAGTTATTTTAGATAGATGTTTCCAAAGACAAGTTCACCATTGTAGAGAAATCCTAAATTAGGTAATCTTCAGGTCAGTTAAGGGCGGATGAACTCCCTCCGGGATTTGTTGAGGGCTGCATACACAGGATAGATTTGGACTGAGTCCTGAAGGACACATGACTTTCATCAGGTGGAGAAGACTGGAAGGAAACCCCAGGCCAGTGAGCCACGTGTGTACAGGCAGGAGGTGGAAAGGGTGATGCGACTGGGAGCTGCCTGGGGAAAGCTGTTAAGACAGAGGCTCCACCCACTGTCCGAATCGTGCACTTTTCTTCACGTGGAATGCATCCTGAGATAACTGTCATTGTCCTAGGACGTGCAAGAAAGCTGATAAACACAGTCTGTGGCAGAGAAGTTGGGTCCTCGGTAGAGCAGTGCACCCTGTCTGTGGTTGCTCACCCTCAGCAGAGTGTTGGTCTCTGCAGGGCTCCTCAGCCAGGGCAGGACGGCCTCACAGTGTTGCTCTGCAGGTGCACTTGAAAGAGAAGTCGGGCATTAGTACGCTGTGGCATTCATTTAATACTCATAGACCCGGAGACTCAGATACATCCATGGGTGTTTAATGCCAGCCGTGGCTTTTTCACATGTGTGTACATGTGGGCCTGATCCATCTGACATTCTGTGACCATTTGTTAATACTCAGGAAAAGTCTGTAAACTGGCTTTGGTATTCACTGTCCAAATAAGCCTGATTTCACCCAAAGACACTCACCAGACAAGGCGGATGGCAGACTCACCGTGGTGCTAATTCTCCTAAGGTGCAGGATTTTTGTAATGCTTCATATCTTATTGTCAGCAAAAAGCACCAATAATCACAAAGCAAATAGTAAGACTGAATATTTGGTTTATAGATTTTCTAAAACTGGATTCATCTGTAATCCTCATACCAATATTTAACATTTGTACTGGTACAAACAGGCACGCTGAGAAGGTGACCCCAGAGCTGGCCTGGCTGGGCTGGGTGTTGTGGTGGTGATGCCCCGTGGGAGGAGAGGGGATAGCTCACGTGGCTCCTGTTAAGGACGGTCACTCCTGGTGAGGCCTCAGTCCTATCCTCAGCACTGGGGTCTGTGCACAATACTCACATTGGTACACTGAACCTCTGCGGTAAGTGAGATTTATTAAATTCCAAATTAGAAATCAATTAAATTTCCACAGATCCACAAACAGTTGTCCCTGAATATCATAGGGCTTGTGCCAGGACCTTTGTAGATGCCTGGACCCTAAGTCAGGGATGGTCCGGTCCCTTGTGACAAGTTCCTTGTGGTGTAGAACTCGCTGGTACCCTGCACGTATCCTCCTGTGGCCTCGGCTCCTCCAGCCCTAGACGACACGTGATTCCTAGCACGGTGCAAATGCTGTGTACGACGCAGTGGCTGCGCCACACTACACAGGAAATGGCAAGGGGGGAGTCTGCACGTGTTCAGCACAGACGTGACTTGGGGAACGCTTCCCAGCCTTCCTACGGAAGCTTGGCTGTGCAGATGCAAACCTATGGGTCACAGGGCTGACTGCCCTTGACCTGGGCTCCAGCCTGCCTTGCCTGCTTGGAGGGGTTCCCCATCTGCATTTGCGGCAAGGTCTCCATAAGCCACTGCGCTCCCATATGGAGTCAGAAAAGTTGGGACACTGAATCCCACCAAGGTGGAAGAGCCCCAGAGTGGAGCATTTTTGCACAAAGTCGGAGCTGGAAAGCTGGAGATGACTGCCCTCCCAGTGCATGTGCCAGCTGGTCTCCCTTTCAAAGAAGAGTTTTAAGGAGCAGCTAAGGTTAACCCCAGCCGAAGGGCACGGCCAGCCAGTGCAGGCTGTCCTTCGGTCACTGTCCAGGAAATAAAGTCAGCTTGGGCATAATGGATTTGGAGAAATCCAGGGGACCTTCTGGCAAGTGCCAAGTCACATTATTGCTATTCATTTCAACAAGTACCTAAGGACTGTAAAATAATTCTCGACTTGGGGCAGATGCATAGACACCGTCAGGTTCCAGGTCCCTGTCTGGTGGGAGAAAAGGAGGACACCCTCTGTCAGCCCACTCATGTCCAAGCCAGGAATGCCGAGTCCTCCCAGCGGAGAGCAGGGTGACGCATCACACAACTCAGCCTTATGTCGGGAGCAGAGCTCGGAGGACAGGTCCTTCAGAGTCCACCTTTGTGCCACCTTCCCCAGGACTCTCACACACTATCAGCGAGATTTGGGTTAAATACTGTGAGTGAACTGTGGAGTATTCTGTATTTAATAGCCCATATGAAATCGGTGTAAAAATCTGAATGCGTCAAAAGAAGAGCTCACTGATAGCTGGAAACACAAGCAAGTATAAAAAAAAAAAAGTGAAGTCTGAACTGCTGTTTGTCTCAAGTCAGGAAGTCCCTTGTGTAGGTTTCCCAGACGCAAAAGGAAGTACTGGGGGGCCCTGTCTTACTCTGTCCTCCAGGCACGGCGGGAGGATGTCCTCCCGGACTGGGGATGCTCAGTGCCCAGTCCTCAGGAGCAGTGCTCCAGAACCTTCTTCCGACGCAGCGCTGCCTCATCCGGGCTCACGTTAGTCTGTTCCCCAGGCACCCTGAGTAACGCGCCCTGCAGTCTGCACTTCCCCAGGGCCGGCGCAGGTGTCCAGGGAGGCCGCCTCTGCAGCTCTGCATTCTGGCCGCCTGGTGGCCATTTGCCCAGCACAAGCTTTGACCACGGACCACTGGGAGCTCAGGGCTGCCACCTTCCTGGGCTGCTCAGTCCTAACCTGCATGCACACAGATCCTTTTACTCTCCGTCGCCTTTAGCCTTTCCAATTTTATTGATGTGGTAAGAGGCAATGGCGAAAGAGAAGTTGGAAGAAGGGAAAGGAGGGCAGCAAAGAGGGGAGCGGTGCTGAGGAAGGGCTGCGGAAGGGAGAGCGACAGCGCAGAGATCTGCTGAGGCCTCTGCCCCCAGCCTGACTCCGCCCTGGCCTCCGTGCTCTGCCTCTTGCTGTTCCTCTCGCTCTTCCTCCTCTTCCTCCTCTCGCTCTTCCTCTTCTTCGTGCTCCTCCTCTTCCTCTTGCTCTTCTTTGTGCCTTTTCTTTCTCATCCCCACAGCCTTCCTGGCACCTCAGCCACACTGCAGGGTTCCCGCCCTGCTGTGACCTTGCTTCTCCCAAATCTACACCAGCTTCGGGCTCTTTCCTGAACTCGGAGTCCGCTCTCCAGGACGCCTGCCTTCTCACCTAAGCAGGGCTCACCAGGGGCTCTAATCTGCATGATTGAAACGCCCCTTGCTGGCTGGCCTCTCTCCCCCGCTTTAAGGTGTCACCTGCAGTGTGACAACCCTGTCTGTCCATCGTCTTTTCCCTACAGTTCATCAGACCCAGCCTTGACTCTCGTGTGGAGATAGGACAGCACAAACAAGAATAAGCAAATGATAAAAACATGACTGGGAAAATGGCCATCAGCAACTGTGCATCAGAAATAGTGTTTACTTTACCCATGATAGTTGCAAAACAGCAAATTAGAAACAAGAACTATATAAAATCAAACTTTATGTGGGAGGAAGTGAGGACAACTCCAATAAGCTATGCGATTGCTACTGCCGTTCACTTGATGTGAAACGTTAAGTATGCTCTGGGTCTTTCTGTAAAGGACTTGCGCTCTAGCATCTTTGGTTTTGGTTTTGCTCCTGTCCTTAGCCGGCCACTGCGGTTCCCCAGACCCCATCGTGAACGGCCACATCAGCGGGGACGGCTTCAGCTACAGGGACACAGTGGTCTACCAGTGCAACCCCGGCTTCCGGCTGGTGGGGACATCCGTCAGGATCTGCCTGCAGGACCACAAGTGGTCTGGACAGACCCCCGTCTGTGTCCGTGAGTACCACTTTGGCCTGGCTGTCCTTACCTTTCCACAAGTGTGCCCACAGCTCCGAGCAGGAGAGCTGTGCTCCTCTCCTCTGTCTCTGACAAGCTCAAGCTCACACCCTGTCCACCCTCTCCCTACTCTGGTTCCTTCCATGCCTCCCAAGTCTCTGGCCAGGCTGGGTCTGCTCATGGGCTCCAGCCAGCAGTCTCAACACGAGGGCCTCACGTGCTTACTCCGTGGCCGCAGCACTGAGCACAGGAGGAGCCACTCTGTGTCCGCAGAGTCTCAGAGGAGCCCTGTCCTCCTCCTCTGCATGACTTTCTATGTCAGTCACTGTTTCCTCTGCATATGTTTTCAAGAGGAAGAGGTGAAACTGCACATGGTGACTTCTCAAAATCCATCCCTCACATTGAACATTGGCTACTGGCTTTAGATTACACGCACCCTCTCTTTATTGCAAAATTCCTTTTAAGCCAATTGCCCTTCTCGCGTGCTTTACTTTCCCATGAGCGAAACAAAAGGGACCCTGTATGGCGTCCACGGTGACAGGTATTGTCTGGGAGAGTGCTGTGGAGATGCACAAGGTTAGAGATAAAAGCTTTACTCAGGAGAAGAAGGAAGATGTTGACAAGATAAGTGAGGAGGGAAGCACCAGTTCTGTGGCTGTAATGTGTTTCTTTTTCAAGGGCCAGTGACAAAGACTCCCATGCTGTGTGGTCCCATTGTGGGGCGTGACATAATGACAGCCCACTACATTCAAAGACAATCAGCATGGTCAGGAAAATAGGATTCAAATGGGCAGTTATCTTGCTAATTGCGCGAGCTTTACAGTGAGATTGGAGTAATTTCTGCACAGACAATTTAAAGTTTCAAGAAAATCCCATAATGTTTCAAAACAAAGTTTTACAAAATCAGCTGGTGTTTCCTGGAAGTAAATTTCCAAAGCCTGGGATTCACAGAAAGGGCTGGAGCAGTGCTTGGTCTCAGAGCTCCACCCTGAGGTGGCTTGGCGTTCTGTCCTGCCTGGAGAGAGGGGTAGTTCCTGTGTGACTGAAGTGTGTCTGGCGGGGTAGCTTGTCCTTGCACTGGGGATGAAAGGGGCGGGGTTAAGTCTGCAGAGTGTGGGCTGAGCAAGGCTCGAACCCACATGCCCCACACCTTGTGTATTCATTCTCAGGGTTACCAAGTGACAAGAATGACCTGTTTTTTTAAAATGGACAGTGACTGGTGCCGTCTTCTCCACAGCGATCACCTGTGGACACCCTGGAAACCCTGCCCATGGGGTCACCAACGGCAGTGAGTTCAACCTGAATGACCTGGTGAACTTCACCTGCAACACGGGCTACCTGCTGCAGGGGGCCTCACGCGCCCAGTGCCGGAGCAACGGGCAGTGGAGCAGCCCCCTGCCCACCTGCCGAGGTAGGAGGCCCCGGAAGTGAGCCCCTGCCCCCCATGTGGGGGCTGAGGGCCACATGGCACCAGTCTCTGGGATAGAGGACAGGGTGCTGTGACCGTCCTGGTGACGTGTGCAGACAGCTCTGAGGACACGCGTGTCTTGGAGCCTCTGTCCTGTCTTGCGGCAGGGTCTCAATCCAAGTGTCTCGGATCCTCTCCTGCCAAGGCAGCCCGTCTTCTCTCTCTCCCCCGCATCCTCCCTGCCGTGCACAGCTAGCACGTGCTCCTTACGTGCCTGATGTTAGGAATGTGTGTATGAAGAGATTGTTACTTTTCCATCTCAATTATTTATTTTTGATTTGTTTATTTTACATTGTCTTATTGATTTGAGCTGAAACTGGAGTTTCCAAGGAAATTCCATTTTTAGAGTTAGTGTCTCTGGCTGTGTCCACTCGTAATATTTACGACTTTGCCTCAGTTCCTTATCTGTCTTGAGGAGGACGCAGCATGGAGGCAAGGTCTTCTCCATGGGGCAGTGTGACATCAGAGCCTTAGGAATTCTGTTTGCTGTGACAAGTGCCCACTACCTCCAGTGCTACTGGCACCCACATAGGAGACTGTAGAAGAGTGGACATCCATGGCATTGAACGGGGGTCCCCCACTGCAGAGTTCTGGTCTGTCCAATATTTGGCTTATGCTCAAAGACTATGTGAGCCTTCTAATTCCATTCGCCCTGTGACACCAATGTCAGGACCATGTCCAGGGTGCAGCCAGGGCCCTAGGATGTTCAGCCTCCCTAGTCCAAGTGAGGGTGGGGCTGCTCCTGCCTCTCCGCCCTGAAAGGCGCACACCCAGGATTGGATCCCTTCCTCCAGATGAGGCTCCCCTCTCAGGAGCCGTGTGGTCAGGTCAGGCCAAGCTGCCTCGTGCCAGAGAGGCAGTCCGCACTAAGTGACAACATTCATTCTGTCCCTTCTCACTCCCCATGGTTCCATCTCCTGCAGCCTCACTCCCCAGAGTCACCCAGGAGGCAGGGACCAAGACACAGGCAGCACACACGTGGAAGGGAGGCTCCATCCCAGCCAGGCCCGCCCTGCCTGCCCCGGGTCCTCTGACCGCCTCCCTGCTCCGGACCTTCACAAGCACAGCAGCAGCCTCGTTCCTCCTCACACAGGACAGCTTCGTAGTGAGCGTCCACCGCTGGAGACCAGACCAAAGCTGCTCAGTTTGTGACCTCTTATTCTCAAGTAGGAACTGCAACATTTAAAAATTACATTGTAATGTGAGGAGTAGTTACATTATCTGTCAACAGGAGGACTTAAAATATAGAATAGATTGCAAATACTAGTACCAGGATAAAATGCCATCAATTATTTTTCCGTTAAGATTTTCCTCTTTGGTAAATGAATGAACAGCCGGAGTTTTTACCTTGAGATGACTACAGATTTATATGCAGTTATGGTGAATAATACAGAGAAGTCCTTCATGTCCCTTCACCACAGCCCCCCAGATGGTGGCACCGCACAACACCAGGCACACTAACAACCCACATTGGTGCAGATGGGGTCAAAGTGCAGTCACAAGGCTCCTCGGGTCACCACACCACTGTCCCAGCCCTTCACCCCTTGTTCCTGCAGACTACTGTCTTGGTCTCCATGGTCTGCTCATGCTGAGACTGTCACACACCGAGTGGGGTCATCACTAGGCTTTCATTCACCCCAGCCCTCAGGAAAGCCATCAAAGCAGTCGCTGCATCAGTAGCTCTGGTCCAGAAGGTTCTGCTAAGCAGCCCAGGTGGAGGGCTGGGCCAGTTTACCCAGCTGTCACCAATCACATCATGCCAGTTTCCTGTTGTCATGGTTAATGTCTCAGGGATTGTCACAGGTTTTTAAGGGACCATGGGTTTTCCTTTGTCTGGAAAATTCCCCAAGAGTATAATTTCTGGGTCATAGGGGATTTTCAAGTATAGTTACACAAGAAATTGCCAAACTACTTTTCAGAGCAGGTATCTGATGCTCCTCCGAAGCATGCATGGGCAGTCCAGTTTGTCCATGTCCTCCCCAGCCCTCAGGGCAACCCGTGCTGTTCCAGCCGCTCCAGTGACGTGTGCTGACACCTCCTTAGGGTTCCTTTGCAGTTTCCTAACGGCTAAGGACTCTCTACTTATCCTGAGCTTCTCTGCCATCTGAGCACTCTTTCAGTGATGTGTCTCTTCACATCTCTGGCCCACATTCTCACTACACTGCTTGGACTTTTTGATTTTTCAAGGTTTAGCTTTAACAATTCCTTATATATTCTCTGTACCAGTAATTTGTCAGGTATGTGATTACTATGATTTAGATCTAAAACGTCCCACAAAATCTTGTGTTGAGAGGCAGGACTTTCGAAAGGTGATTGGGTCATGGGGGTACTTTACACATAACTGAATGCGCTGTTGGCAGGTGCGGCCTGGTCACAAGAGGCAAGTCACAGCCAGGGTGCGACCTGCAAGAGTGTGTTCTTACACCTGACACACACACTCTATGTTTTCTGGATGCCATGCTTGAGAGCTACCCTCCACTATGTCCTCTGTTATGCTCTTTCTGCTGTGGAGCCATGTTTCTGTTCAGACCATTGACCAAACTCACTGAAACTGTGAGCCAAGATGAACCGCACATCTTTTAAGTTTCAGGCATTGGGTATTTTGTCCCACCAAGTGGAAAGCTGGCTAACACAATGATGGAAAGTTTTCTGGCAGTTTGCAGCTTATCTTTTCATCCTGCTAGCAAGGTCTTTTGTGCATCAAATATTTTAAATCCATCAATACTTTTTCTATGGATCATTGTTTTGATGTCAGGTCTAAGGGCTCTACCCAGGCCTAGACCATGAAGATATATTGCTATGTTTTTTTAAAGTTTTGCATTTTATGTATTTTAAAAATGTAATATATTTTGTGTTTATTTTTGTGTAAGATCTAAGACTTTAAAGGTACAGGTACAGACTTTAAAGGTACAGACTTTAAAGGTACTTTATAAGGTATAGGTTTCCTTTTGGTATGAAGATGTAAGGGATATTGGGGGTATGAAGATATAAGGGATATTTGGTATGAAGACGTAAGAGGTAAGATGTAAGAGTTTTAAGTAATTAAAAATGTTACTAGGAATTTGCACTTATATTTATAATTCAGTATAAGGTGGTGCAGTAAAAAATTGAATCTGAAAAAGATCTTCAGCTAATTTTGTATATATAACATTTTCATTCAACGTACCCTATTTTTAAAAGCCTTACTATGTGGCTCTGTGTAATTACACCCACTTCCCATGTAAAGATGGACTGTTGATGGGTAAATTTTATGCATCTTCCATCCATGAATTATTTTTCTGGTTAATTTTTGCCAGAAAGCATATTTTTATTGTAAAATCTCAATGGTGTAATGTGAGTGGGCATGTGACAGAACATAAGGAATTATTACTCCCTGGGACAATTTTCCTCTCTGCATACCTATGCTCAGTTTTCAGTGTGGGATCAGCATGCTTAGCCTCACCCCCAAAAGCAGTAACTGCAGGAATAAATTATTTGTATGGGAAGTAACTGAACTGTTGCAAGAAACTGTTGCTCTGGAAATAATTATTATCCATCACTCCCTTTCATAAATGTAATATTGATTGTGAAAGGAGTGGGATGCTCCCTTAACTTGGCAATGATTTTATATCCAGCATAACAGTGTATAATGACCATGTGTGACAGCATCATACACATCAGGTCAACCTTTTATGGAGTTTCTTATGTTTTGTGGAGATACTGTTTTCTTGCTTTAAAAGGCACAGTTGAGTATGTTAGTAAGTTTTCACTGCATTCTTCCCTACAGTGGAGCAGCTCTGGACCCACACAAGCCTTGCAGGCAGTGACAGCTGAATTCTGCATCACTACATAGTCCATACCCTAAAGTGTCGACCACAATTGTCTATTCAACAATACAAACACAAGCAAAGTCTTTCCTATATATTTGAAAACAGCCTTAGATCTCTAGTTCAGAGAGAATGTTGAGTGTTTCACTCAACTTAATGAAAAGTCAGCCTTATGGTTGCTGCTAGAGAAGCAAGATATAGCCTGCTTTTCTAAGAACTGGAAGCAGGGCTAGGGGTTTAGCTCAGTGGTGCAGTGCCTTCTTGGCAAGCATGAGGTCCTGAGTTTGATTCCTGGTACCAATAAAATAAAATAAAATAAAATTGTCCAAAGAATTGGAAGCAAATTCCTGAAAATGTACATGCAGTGAGCACTGGGAGACCCTGAGAGGTGAGCTGATCCTGCTGCAGGGCCCTGTCTTATCTTGCAGTTAGAAGTAAAGAACTGATGCTGTGTATCTGAAAGAATCACCCTCTGTGGCTGGAGGCATGTGCTGGTCATTACTGATTGAAGGACAAAAGTACAACTTCACACTGGACAGGAAGGATAATTAAAATTAAAAAGAAAGAAAACCAGAAAGATGGCACATTTGCTACTTCAAACTTTGAAAAACTATTTCTAACCAAAGAGGTTGCTCTCTGGAGGTGGCCTCTTTTTTTTTTTTTTTTTTTTTTTTTTTTTTTTTGGTTTTTCTCCGGTACCAGAAACCGAACTCACGACCTTGCACTTGCCAGGCAGGCGCTTTTGCCGCTGAGCTAAATCCCCAGCCCCTGGAGGTGGCCTCTTACAGGTGTTCTCAGCGTTAAGGGCATGTGAAAGTCCACACGTATGTCCACACAGACAATGTATCAGAGGACTGGGACCTTGCACAAGGACACTAGAGGGCTGGATGCAGTCCCAGTAGAGTGAGATCCAACCAGCCTTCTTTCCCTGGGCTTGTTTTTATCTGAGAAACTATTCATATAGCATGAAATTAGACATTGTCCATTTTGAAACATACAGCCTTGTGCCTGGATGTCTTCGGTGTTAGGGAGGACCTCCCTCCAGTACCCAGCATCCAGACAGAACAGTTCAGTATATACTCCCCAGACACTGTGCCAGACAGCATCTGCAGGGCTGGGTAGTGTAATGTGTATCTTTACCTGGATAATGATCCAGGGCCCAGGGTAGAGGTGGTAAGGTAGGGAGAATGTTATCAAGCTGCTGAGACATCTGTGTGACACATGATCTATTCCTGCTGAACAGAAGATCAAGTGGACTCAAAACGGACAGGTTTCCTCTTAAACCAACAGCTTCTTGAGTATCTGTGTGCCGCTTTTTTGTAACTTAAGGCTAAGGAAAAGGAAAGACAGTGCATACGCATTTCTTACTGAGCTCAGTGTCTTGCTGCACAGTGTGAAATCACAACCTGTGTAAGGACCAATTCATTATTAATTAGCTTTCCTGAGCTTTCTTGATTTCCCTAGAAAATACAAAACATGTATGACCAGCCAAGAGTCATTAGGATGTCATGGATTAGGAGTCCCTCGGTCACCTCATGGCCACCTCTTAACCAGCTTTCAGGAGACACAATTTGGGGAATGGAACCACATCCACCTTACTAAGGGCAAGAAAAGCAGCCAAAATGGGGTCAGCTCAGAAAGATGGGACGCCTTAGGAAAAAAGTGATACAAACTCCAGAACTCCAGGACAAATAGCAGCTCTACCAAAAAACTTGCTAGGGATTTTAGTGTAGATGGCCATGAATCCTGATTCTTCATTTTCTCAAATTTTAGGACATCATTTGTCACGCTGATGTGCGGACCCCAGGGTGCTCTCCTCTCAAGCTCTTGTTAAGGTTCTCAAATGCATCCTGGGTGTGGGATCCTGGGCTCCCCTCCAGCATCCCATTAGGTAGAGAGACCTAGAGTTTTGGAAAGGCACTCAAGCAAATGCGAGCTCAGTGGGGCTGAATTAGATGCAGATTCCCACGAAGTCCATGTCTTCGCTGAGGCAGCCTCTTTGCTCTGATTCAACCCTAAGAGGCAGATGTTCCAGTCAACCCTACAAGGCAGAGTTACCTCAGAAAACTCAGATCCAGAATACTGGGTGATGTTTCTTTCCCCAACACATTAATGCTATCTTTGCTAACAGGACTGGAGAAATAAAAGAAAGTATACTCTGAACTAGCAGCAATACTGTTCCAGAGGAAATACATGACAGTTCCAGATTTTATAAGGAATGAAAACCAAGGTCTTCACTTTGAAGAATCTGATTATGCACAGACACCTGGGGAACATGAGTTCACACAGGAGTTTCTCTGAGGCTTTTTCCTTTGAATTCCAACATATATCAATACGTTTATAAATGCAGCCAGTTGAACAAGTAACAAATCAGGAACACCATGCCTGGCCATGTTTTATGATGCTTCACATATTTTTTAACTTCTTCATCTCATAATCTTTGTATTACATGCAAAAGTTAGACATTTTTCTCTTCTCCTGTATGGTTTTGTAAGGTTGGGTGTCCACATCAGAGAGAGCTTCTGTGGGCTTCTGTGTGATTATATATCAGGACTGGAAGAAAATGTGAAGTATGGCTGGACAGGAACTAAAAGGCAAGCAATATCAAACAGTGAACTTCCCTGAAGTGCATTTTGTAGATAATTGCAGTAAAGCCTCCATGTATTTTCAAAATGTTGAAATAATAAAATGTTACAGTTGGTGGAAACGCAAGCAAATGTAGGAAGCGGTTACCATTCTGTGGCTTTGTGGGGCAGGACCATGCTTTAGGAAGATGCAGAGGATGAGGAGACAGTAACCAGTATGATTAGGGCAGGGGCAGGGGCAGGGGCAGGAGCTGGCTGAGGGGCACTGGCTGGCAGCTCCTGCAGATGTCCTTACAGACCCAGGGAGTAGGGGAATGTCTCATGGTGCAGAGTGAAAATGGTAATAAACCGTTTCTCAGCACGGTGCTTAGGAAACACCATTCTCATGGTAAAGTTTATTCTTTAATTTTGTTTTAATTAAAAAGCCACATTTGCTTGTATCACAATGCACTGTAGATTCATTATAACCAAGTTTTCAGTCTCTATCCAGAGAAAAGATGCATAAATCCTCTCATAAAACAGTAGTGAATATGGCTTTGGTTTTTAAAGGCATTGTGCAGGATTTTTCTGTATGTAACCTCCTAGGATCACTACACATACTTATGTACAATCTTGTGTGTGTTTCTTGCATGTACACGTACATATGCTCAGCTATTGCTGTCCACAAGCGGCACGACCGCAGATTTAATAAACCACGAGTTGGTTGCTTTTTAACTGCATCTGCACTAATGATGAAGACTCTTTTCTTGTCACTATCCGCTACACACCGCATAATAGCCCGACACAATGTTCTACTGTGCTAGAGATCCTACGTGACGTAGGGCTCAAGGAAAATTCCCGCGGGCTGTAGTCAGCTGAGCTCTGCACATCGTCCTCCAGGTCTGCGGGTCTTTGACAACAACCCACACGCAGCTCCAACCCACGTTGTCCCCACACCCCCACCAGGAGCCAGGGCCTTGCTCATCTGCTGCGGCTGTTTACATGTCCCAGCGGGGCGCACACGTCCAAGGACCAGGTCCCTCAGGTTTGCCTTCGCTCTGGGCCACACTTTGCAGCTGCTGCCTGGGGAGCACGCGCACAACTATGCCCCAGACACAAGTGGCTTCTGCTGGTCCACGCACGTGAGGTCGAGCTCAGGTCGCCAGGCCTGCTCTCCCCCCACCCCCGGCAAAGGAGCGGTGCCCTGAGCATCGCCATCACACTCAGCCGACAAGGTGGAGGGCGTCCTGCAGGCTGCGGCCACTGTCTTGCTTGGGGGACTTCCTAAAGAGAAGGGGGCTGCCTCCGAGGTGGCTCCATGTCCATCTCCACTAAGCATTGATGAAGAACTGCCACTTTCAGGTGTTGGTCACTCAAAGTGGAGGCACACCAGGAGGCCCGGGCGCAGGCGGCCGCGGGGTAACCCCGCCATGCCCTCAGCGTCGCCTGTAGTAAACACAGCGGAAGTAAGAGAGCCTCAGCTGGTCCGCCGTGCCCTGTCAGAACCCAAAAGTTTAACCAAGCAAACTAGCACCGGCACGCACACTGGAGACGCTCCCGCAGGAAACAGGGAACGGGGAGGCACCTGGCGTCCTCGAAGTCGCTCAAGGGGCTGACTGTGTGACCTTGTCGCGGGGCGGTGGGCGGCAGCTGAGGTAGAAGTCGGCACCTCCGGGGCCGTCGCGGAGCCTGGCCCACGCTGCCCTGCCTCTGTGGACCCCAGCGCCGCGTGCGCCTTCTCTGGCGCGCTCTGATTGGCGGGTGGGCGCTTGGGGGGGCCTTGGGCGTGACGCGTGCGCCTTCTCTGGCGCGCTCTGATTGGCGGGTGGGCGCCGATTCCGCCTCACGGTGACGCGGCCGCCTCCTTCTGTTCCAGTGGTGAACTGCTCGGATCCCGGCTTCGTGGAGAACGCCATTCGACAAGGGCAGCAGAATTTCCCCGAGAGTTTCGAGTACGGCACGAGCGTCCTCTTCCACTGCAAGAAGGGCTTTTACCTGCTGGGCTCCTCGGCCCTGACCTGCACGGCGAGCGGCTCGTGGGACCGCGCTCTGCCGGCTTGCCTGGGTGAGTGGGTGCGGCGAGGCTCTGTCACAGCCCTGAACCAACAGCCGCGCCACGCCATGCGCATGCGCAGAAAGCTCCCGGCCTTCCGCCGTGCGCACGCCATACGCGTGCGCAGAAAGCTCCCGGCGTTCTGCCATGCGCGTGCGCAGAAGGGTCTGGGGTGTGGCTCTCGCTGCCCCTGCTTCTCCAGTTCTGTCAGTTCTCGCGATAGCACAGAGAGATTGCTTCATACCACAAATTATGCTTCAGATCTGGTTGAGATACACAAAGGGAGGCTCCACCAAGGTCACACGCCTGCGTGGGCAGACGCAGACTTGGGAGGGAGTCTCTGCACGGTGCAGACGGCGCGGACAGGCGGTGGGCTTCCCCCAGCTTCATCCCGAGACACAGCTCCCACCCCTCTACCTGAGCTGGCCTGGGTGCCATCCTCCTGCCTCAGCTTCCCGGGCCCTGCAGACTCAGGGACCAGCAGTGCGGCCCCGGGAGGCAGCACCTGGCTTTGTTAAACTTGAAAAATGAGGTTAACCTACACTCAAGGACCAAGGTCTTTCAAAAGCTGAGCCTGAAAATTTAGGAAATGAGTGGATTTCACCTTTTTAAATTCAGACAACCCCGTACAGTCTACAGAGAAATTGCCTCAAATTCAGACCGTGTGATTAATTTGCCGAAGAAAGTAATTTTCAAGAAGGAGCGCGTGGGCGCATGGCAGCCCATGTCACATCTCATCGGGTTCCTGTCCCCACCTTGCCCTTGGGGTTTTCTGAAATTTGGTTCTCCCTTCCTTCCCCACCTTCCTGGAGTCCTGCTTGGCCGATGCTGACCACAGGGGTGTGTGCTGGGGCAGCTCAGCCCTGCCTGTCTGCCTTTAGATGGTTTCAGGGACAGTATTCCATTCCCTCCTTTACTGCTCCTAGAATTGGTCATTTACCCAGCATTTCAGAGTTTCAGGTTTGGTAAGCGCCCGTGGTGAGGGCGTGTCTACGCAAGACAAAGGAACATTGGAGGGGCTCAGGCTGGGTGATGCCCTCCAGCCTGGGAAGTCCCCCTGCTTGGGTGACATCATCTTAGGGGTGCTAGTGCCCAAGTGAAATCACTTCAGACTATTAAACAGTCCCTGGCAGTCTCAAGTGGTTAGTTCACTGCATGTAGCATAAACATGTAGCGTTTTTAGGTCTATTTTGGTAATTTCTGGAAAGTCTAGATACATTTTAGATGCCTCCTATTGAAAGAAAATTACTAGAATGGTTTTCTTAGACATGTGAGCCTGAAGATTAAACAGTTCTGTCTCAAACAAAATACATAATTTCACACTGACTAAAAACAAAGGAGGAAGCCTTGAGGGATCTGAGACACTTTCGGAGGGTCCAGTTCATTTCTCAGAGCTCCTGTGACCCTGCTGGGCTGCTCATGTAGGCTGTAGTTTAGACGAGCTGGAGAAAAAAGCAACAGAGCTTCTCCCTGAAAATCTACATGTAAATTTTGACCTTAAGCAAAGCTACATTAAGAAAAAATAAATCTATTGGCAGAATCTTTTCTGTTCTTCAGTCAGTAAATTCTGAGGAAGGTAGTATCATCTGGAATATTTCTTTTTGGAAGTGAAACCCAGGACCTAAACTGAGCTACATCCCCAGCCCTCTGCTGATTTGAATTTTGAGACAGGATCTCACTAAATTACCCAGACTGAGTTGGAATTGACAGTCCTCCTGCTTCAGCCTCCAGAGCAGTGGTATCAGGGGCGAGTGCCACCACAAGCAGCTAGAAGTTGACATTTCTTATCTGTAGGGAGCTGTAGGGCTGTGTTAACTTGTTTAGGCCGTGTTTTTCAGAGGTGATGTGTGGGCACCCGTGTGGGAGGCGCAGTGTACCATTTAACCCGAACCTTGCATTCATTTGCTGTCACGTTCTCCTACCTGAAGCCATCTCGTGTGGGCACCCTGGAGTCCCTGCCAATGCAGTGCTGACTGGAGAGCTGTTCACCTATGGAGCCAGAGTGCAGTACTCCTGCAAAGGAGGCCAGAGTCTCACCGGCAACAGCACCAGAGTCTGCCAGGAAGACAGCCACTGGAGCGGGTCCCTTCCCCACTGCTCAGGTGAGGGCTCTGCGTACCCATAGGCATATAAAGCATGGGGTGATTGCACGGTTATCTGAGGTTGCACGATTGTCTGTCCTAACCCAGCTGCAGCCCGATGTGCCATTACTGTGGATCTTCATCTTTACCATTGTCACCCGTCCTCATTACAGACATTGGTACCATCAACCTCACCATCAGAGGGGGCATAGGGCATCATCCTCTCCAAAGTCACTGGTCTCCACATACAGAGCACTTGTTGCCATCGTCACCAAAACCACTGGTCCCCTCACTGTTCACTGCTACCCATAGGAGTTCCTGGTCACCCCGGCTAGGGTGCTTGCCTTGTCTCAGTCTCCCAGAGCTTCACCACTTGTAGCATCTATAGTTACATTAATACACTTTGAAAAGACCCATCATCTTAATTGTTCTGTGAATGCTTCTGTAATGAGTATCAGTGCAGCAGAAACTCTGGGCAAACCTGTGAACCACCAACCTCCAGTGCGACGTTCTTGTGTCCCACGCCCTGGCCCCTCTGTTTCACATCTGCACTCACAGTCATCATCTTTGACCCGAACCTGCTGCAGCCAGCCTGTGTGCAGCAGTCTAACACAATACTGCACTGTCGATGCGCTGTGTTCAACAGGAAGCAGCCCCGGGTTTTGTGGGGACCCCGGGACCCCCGCACATGGCTCTCGGCTTGGGGATGAATTTAAGACCAAGAGTCTCCTGCGCTTCTCCTGTGAAATGGGCTACCAGCTGCGCGGCTCAGCAGAGCGGATGTGCCTGCTCAACGGGTCCTGGTCAGGGGTGCAGCCTGTGTGCGAAGGTGAGCACCTACGTCCTGCATCCATCCTGGCTACCAAGCCGTTAGCGCCATCCAGAGCGACTCCAGGTATTCTCTGTAAGAGCATCATCAGAAATTACGCCTCTGGTTACCTAGAGATAGCCTGACTCTTCTAAAGGTCCCACCGCACTGATCCCTGTGCTTTGAAAGTTGATAGCGCATACAGGGGCCCCTCCTCTTCTGGTGCGGATCTCCCTGCGGTTGTGCCAGGTTCCATGGGTGAATGACGAAGCTGAGGGGCAGTGAGCAGGAGCAGCACACGTCCGCCGTGGGAATCTGTGGGCTGAGTGTTCCAGTTCACGCAGAATTTTCAGTCTTCTTGTCCCAAAAGTCCCTGGAGTTATAGCACGTGCAGTATTTAGTAGTGGATGCTTTTGGTGTAGTAACTGAAGGGGGAAGCAGGAGTTGGTGGGCGCAGTTACGTTGTTCTGGGCATCAGCTGTGTCTGTCTGAGGCAGAGGTGAGGTGTGGGTAACGATGGTGTTTAGAGTTCACAAGAAACATTTGGAATGCAGACAGGCAGGGCTGGCAATGTCAGGAATTGCTGGCAAAGAAACTTCCCAATTAATTTTTCATCTAAAGGGATGATACCATTTAATTAAATGTGTATTCTGTGTGTGAAACACTTTCTGCATAAGAAACATAGAAATATTGCCCTGCAGAAAGAAGCTCAACAAATGTCACACCACCGCCCTTGCAGTTCCCAGAAATGTTAGCCAGGCTTCCGGGTTCAGCCCCTGTCCAGCCTTGTGCTGTCCACGTGAGCTCCCCGCTCTGAGTCCATGAAAAGCATCACATTCTGATGGGAAGCTTGAGTAAAGTACAAAAAGGAGGAAGAGTTCATGAGTCATGAAAGAAAAATGCTAAAAATATTCTTAAAGGTCAAGAAATTTACACTTCTGTTTCATATTTTATATGGATGTATCTCCATATATTTCTGTTAGATCATACCTGCTTTTGTTAGCAGTGTAAGCTTTAATCATAAGCTCATTAGCTTAGTATTTCACAAGGCCATATCTCATGAGGTTGCTTGCATAAAGTACAGTATTTTATTTTACTTGAATTGGGCAACTTTTAATGCTTTTCCCATGAAATTTGGATAAAGCCTATATTTGACTCAAGTAATGGAAATACGGTCATGAAAAGCAAGGTCGCATGAACCATGAGCTGACTCAGCACGGGGTGCAGGTTAGATCTTCGCAGGCAGGTTACATGCTGCTGCGGCGTGTGTAATCTGACAGCAACTGGGGTGACTTTGTCGCATCCCTCTCACAGCCGAAGGCATTATATCTGGAGAATTTAATTGAGGCGACTGCTGATGCAACTTGGAGGAGCAGATTCTCCCGTGCTGAGTGCAGTTTAGCTGCAGTCTTTCTAGTGCAGTATACTCCTGAGCTGCATGTGCACTTGTGAAGAATAAAACCGTTTCAGATCAGTGTAGGGATACTTTGTGTAAATCAAGTAGAATAAGATTATGTTTTACTAAAAGCAATCACATTAACCAGGTGTTCTTGTAGTATGTTTATTTAAAAATAATGAGACTAGAGAGCAGAGAATGTGGTAAAATTTCAAATGACAGTTTTTAAAACATTTCTCCTCTACTGATTCTAAACATAATCTCTTGTTTCAGTTCTATTCCTATTGTTTTATAACCTTAGAACCTTGGCATAACAAGACACATTGATACTGCCTCTGATTCCCATTCTTATTGTAATTACCAGTGGGGAAAAGGGAAAGGAAAAGTTTAATCATAAATTTTACTTTAGAAAAGACAATACTTAGCTGCATTCTTCCTAGTGTCACTAAAGGCCAACATAATGAGGATACTCTTATAATAGGTATGCACTGACTACTTTTCACTCATTATTTGATTAATTTTAGCATTGGACCTCGGGTGACTTTTAAAGAGTTATACATAGATTTCAATAGCAAATATGGTTCCAAATGGGATAAAAATGTCCACATCCTGGATAGACGGGTGCCCTTTCTTTCCCATGCAGACATTTGGAGAGACATTTGCACAGCACCTGTTGCTTACTTAATGAGGAATAAATTTTTGTTGAATGATTTCTTGTACAGACCAACACCTTAGTGTGATGTGATGCAAAGTCTTAACTTACGTTACAGTTATCATAAGTCTTTCAAACTTTAGAGAACCTTCCATAACACTTGCTTCTGGGTGGGTAGATATTTTCCAACTTACACGGCCACCAGGAAACAGCTGACAAGCCTCTGTTAGAGGGAAGAACCCAGATTCATGAGGGAAGGGAGGTGTGATTGATTAGCTGTGTCTGCCACAGGCACCTGGACAGGAACTCCACCCTGCGTGCTGCGTGTTAGGTTTTCAAACATGACAACCTCCTAAACTTGCAAGTATAATGACTTCTAAGTGCTATGCAAATTCGGCAGCCTGCTTTCCTCCATAGTTTCAGGAGAAGTACATCTTTGTTCTCAAGGCTAGCTTTGAAGAAGGAGCAGCTAGATATGCAGAAGTTTGTCTGGTTTTTCCCTCACTCCCAGACAGTCTCACGATGCTTCCTTGTCAGAACAATCCAGCAGGGTCGCATTCGTTACCTGTCTGCTTAGTCCTCATCCTTATGATGAGAATAAGGAAGAAGTGTAACAGTTATTCTGTAAATAGACCCAATGTAAAAGAGCATGAAGGAAGGAGGGATAGAATTCAACGCCTTGAAGCTTGTCCAGCAGTATCAGAACTGCCCTTGGTCTCCCGGCAAAGGAGTGTGTGCATGCGCACATACGCACACCCTCTAAAGCCACGTGCAGTGTAGCCCTGTTGTGCTGTCATTACCTGAGACTTCATTGCCTGCACATGACATTAAAATGCTTTGGAGGGAAATGCAGAATGCAGTCGTGTCTAAGCTGATGAACACAGCTGCCCTTCGATTTGGTAGTGTGGGGGACCTTTACACAAACATGTCAACTTAGGTCATTCTCACTCTGTATATGCTCCTTTTTCCAAGTGAATTCTTCTGGATGTGTAACAATCGACCTGATTCTCCAGAGTATTCAAAGTCAGCCTCGGCGGGGTGGGGCTGTTGCCAAGTGGCCCATATCATACGGGTAAAATTCTAGCTGGGACAAAAACAGGTTCGATCCTAAAGTAGCAATGTTTCTAACTCTTTGCTCATATTTTGAATGGTTTGCAAGTGGTGCTCTTCAGAAAAGATAGTGTGAAGATATATATTATATTTGTAACTATTCAATAACCCAATCTATGAGTCCTGGTCAAATACACACTAGAAACCTGTGTGTGGATGCACTCTAAGATTTTGTGGTGATCCAGCACTGGCCTTGGTCCCCTCTGTTTACCGTGGTCCTCACGGGCTGGCCCTGTGTGCCCTTTCTGCTTCCTGTAGCCGTGTCCTGTGGGAATCCCGGCACGCCTACCAACGGCCGGATAGTGAGCAGCAACGGCATCCTCTTCTCCAGCTCCGTGGTCTACGCGTGCTGGGAGGGCTACAAGACCTCGGGGCTCACCACACGGCACTGCACGGCCAACGGGACCTGGACGGGCACTGCCCCCGACTGCACAAGTCAGTACCCGAGTGCCCCTGAGACTGTGTAATGGGGGGAAAAGTATGATTGTAGGAAGGAAATGAAATGTATTAAGTACTGGGGTTCTGTTCCTGCAGTACTTCTTGTTTGTCTGCTTTGGTGCTAGGGATTGAATGAGATGGGGTCTTGTTAAGTTGCTCAGTTGTCCAGGCTGGGGTCAAGTTTGAGACCTTCCTTTCGCAGGCTCCCAAAGTGCTAGGATTCAAGGTATGCACCACCGTACCAGGCTCCCAAGGCACTGAAATAGCATTCTCCAGTTGATAATTGTAATAGTGAGGCTACTTTGAGCAGCCAGTTAAGATTGGATATTGTAAAGCTGGAGCAAACAAAAACCAAGATTTTCTCTGTCTGTAGACCATTTATTCTGCAAACGAATAAGATGCTTAGCTCAGTGACCACAGCTGTGTGTCTGTCCTTGACCAGCAAAGTGAGAGTTGACATCAAGGCTATTTAGGGACAGCCATGGGGTAGCAGTTGGGGTCTACAGAGCTACTCTTCAGTAAAATGCAATCAAGGATTCCTAAGGCATGGCCTCCCCACAGCCAGTGTTCAGCCAGGCCACCAGCAAGGTCTGGGTCACCCCTTGATTCAGCTGGTCCTGTGAACACAGGCTTACGGTGTGCCCTAGCAGAGATTGCCACTACTCGTGCAGGTTAATTGCATGACTCTCTGGCCCTTCTTTGCTGCATGCCCATTAGTTATCAGCTGTGGAGATCCAGGCACACTGCCGAATGGTGTCCAGTTCGGGACTGACTTCACCTTCAACAAGACCGTAAGCTACCAGTGCAGCCCTGGCTACCTGATGGAACCCGCCATGGCTTCCACCATCCGCTGTACGAAAGACGGCACATGGAACCAGAGCAAGCCCATCTGCAAAGGTTGTGGCCCTGTTTATTTTGGTCTCACTGATGTTTATTTACAGTGCTAGGTTTGATTTCATTTTGCAGTCATTCACAAAGCTCTTCCTGGACCTAGGAATTGTAGGAACTCATACCAGCCCGTTTACAAATGCTGTCACTTTTGTTTTCCTAATCTGTTAAGGTCAGTTTCGCAAGTGGAAAAACTGACTCCCAGAAAAGTGTAGCCAACAGCTGTGGATTTCAAAGCAGCAGTGGAGAAGTAGGGCTTGGTTGGCCGCATCCACCCTCTGGCAGGCTGGTGACACAGTAGCAGCAGGTGTTGTACCAGATATGGGTGAACAGATCTGTGGGACTGCAGAGGCCAGAGAGGTGCCGTAGTCACCCAGTGACGGCACAGCACTGGTGGAGAATGTCAGCAGCAGGACATCTTGGAGATTGGGTGCCCAGGAGGAAGCTGGCTTCCACCAGAACTCCTCAGTAACTCTTTTATTTCAAAAGTTCTACGTGGATGTTCTCCTCAGTGCAGGGAACTGAAAGCGCAGGCGTGAGGTGGGAGCGTGGCGGCTGGGTGGGAGTGCGATGCTCACTCTGCCCGCTCTCTGTTCTCAGCTGTGCTGTGCAGCCAGCCCCCTCCTGTGCCCAGTGGAAAGGTGGAGGGCACCGACTTCCGCTGGGGCTCCAGCATCAGTTACAGCTGTGTGGATGGCTTCCAGCTTTCCCACTCGGCCATCCTCTCCTGCGAAGGGCACGGGGTGTGGCGAGGAGAGGTCCCGCAATGCCTGCGTAAGTTCCACAGCTGCCCATTCCACTGAGGCAAATGAGCCTCGCTACACACCCGAAAGTCACAACTCCTGGAGCACAGTGGTGTGGAATCACCCCAGATACAAGAGGAGGCATGATTCAAAACAATGGTGAAGGCTCACATTTTAAAAATTATTAGAGTAAAAGACACAGTGCCAATAACTTCCCCAGAATCCTCCCCTCCACTTAGAACACACTGACCCCACGGTTCTTGCCGCCTTTTGAAGAAGTCGCGGAGTCCTCTTCCCTGCATGTCTTTGGTTGTCCCATCATGTTCTGAATCCATTCAAAACACTTCCTTTTCACAGTCGCTTTGACTTTGAGTAAGAGCTAGAAGTTGTATGTAGCCAGACCTGGTGAATCAGACGGATGGGGAAGCGCAGGGATGTTTTTAAGGCGCAGGGATGACCATGCTTTTTCATTGGATGTACTTGGCAGTAGCATTCACCATGGTATTGATCACACCTCCTAAAGACACTTACAAAAGCGGACTTCCAGAACTGCTTCAGAAAGGTGGCAAGAATGGTGGGATAACTATGCTTGAGGTAAAGCAAAGCCTTTTGATGGGGACTAACAGCAATGTGTCTCTCAGAGTCTTCTGTATTTAAACACACACTATGTTTTAATCAGCCCTGTAGGTAAAATCTCAGACTGGAGCATGTGCCATGCAAGGCCTGGTGCTTTCCACTTGCCACTGTGTTTAGTAGTTAACACTGAAGGTTTCACAGAAAACGTCACCAGGACTATTCAGTAGAGCTGTGCAGGGATGCTCATCGCTGAGGTCTTCCTGTTGATCCCCACAGCTGTGTTCTGTGGAGACCCCGGGATCCCAGCTGAGGGACAGATCAGTGGGAAGAGCTTCACGTTCAGGTCTGAGGTCTTCTTCCAGTGCAAGGAGCCCTTCATACTGGTGGGGTCATCGCGGAGAATGTGTCAGGCTGACGGCACCTGGAGCGGCATTCAGCCCACCTGCATAGGTAATGTTGGTGTCTTAATTGTCTCCTAGTTGCTGGGACAAAATACGTGACATCCACAGCTTAAGGAAAGAGAGGTTTATCTTGGCTCACAGTTTGTAGGGTTTCAGTTCATAGTTGGCTGACTTCAGGACGAGGTGGCATGACAGAGGAGCTCATGCCATGGCAGACAGGAAGCAGAGAGATCGAGGGAGGAGGAGGGAGACGACCCTGTAAGGCCATGCCCCCAGTGGCTGCCTCCTCCCACCAGGCTTCACTTCCCATCACACTCAGCTATAAATGTATCAGTGGACCAGTCCATAACCCAGTCGCCTCTCCAGGGCGCCACGTATGAGGTCATGAGGCTTTGGGGGACACCTAGATATGAACCAAAACAGGCAATGATGTGGCCCTACCATGTTTAGGATACTTCCAGACAAGGACATTTCATTCTTTCTTTTTAGTTTTTTTGTCTTTTTTTTTGAGACAGGGTCTTGTTATGCAGTTCAGGCTGGCCTTGAGCTCACTTTGTAGCCCAGGCTGACCTCAAACTCACAGAAATCCTCCTGCCTCAGCCTCCCAAGGCAGGGATTGCAGGCATGTGCCACCATGCCAAGAACATTCATTCTTAAGGGGGTGACACAGTGTTCTGGGTGAGGTGCTGTTCTGAGTCAGAGCTGGCCAGCTAGGCAGGCAGGCAGATGGCCCCCTAAATCTGCACACTGGGTTGGAGCTGAGTCCCAAGTCCTGACACAACTACTGGACAGACGCAGGTGGTACCATCCTTGAAACCACTGTCACCAGAAGCAAACTGGATGTTCTGTTGTTGAGACTCATCTTGTTGGGTTGGAATCACCCAGTTTTACTGTTCTCTGCAAATTTATAGTAAAAAATAATAGTCTGTAGTCATGGTTATTTTCCAGGAAATTAAATGATATCCACTTAAAATATAGTATTAGAAGTAATTTCATTAAAAAATTTCTTAAATTTAGGAATTGCTGTCACTTGATTTAAACTACTGTTAGATGCTAGACATCTCTATATTGCAGATATTTTCCTCTAGTAGATTGGTTACTCTAGAAAATAAATTTTAAGTAGTTTCATTTTTATTTTTCTTTGTGCAGCTAGGAGCAGCAATAATGTAGTCTGGCCAGTCCTTGGGGGCTCATGTCCTTTGGATTTGGGAAATGCCCTGTTGGTAGACCATAGGCTTCCATTTGGACCATTGAACAGTCCTCTTATTTTGAAATCCTGAGGAAAATTTATCCAGGAAATGTGGAATAATGTCATGGATAAGCAACTATGATGACTATTATTTAAATATTTATAAGCCAGAATATCATAGTAGGTATTTATGGATCACACTATAAGATTAACCAACTAGATATTGGTAGAGGGATTGGTGGAAGGATTATTCTTATATAGATAAGTATTGCAAATCTATTTAAAGCACAGTAAACACAAAGCATTAATTTCTGAAGATGTCTGCAGACATGGAAATAGTAATTTACTTTTTTAATATTTATGAAAAATATCTTGTTTATTTGTCAAAACATTGCTCTCAATTTTGTAGGATCTTTTAATAAAATGTTATCATGTTTTGTTTTGATTGTGAATTTCAGATCCTGCACATAATACCTGCCCAGATCCTGGTACCCCACACTTTGGAATACAAAATAGCTCTAGAGGATATGAGGTATTTCATATGTTTCATTAGAAATATAAAATATAGTTGGTACTTAAGCATATGTGTGACTTTTCATATGCAATATCTTCTTCATGTTATATTTGCCCAAAGTCAATCAATGCAGATTTCAGCATGTGTTTTTAACTGTCAAAATCTGGATAATCACATGTATCTTGATTACCTCTGTCCAAATGGCTATCTTACTTTCTATTTGGAAGCACCTATACTTGTCTGTTTTTCTGTCTGTTGAACCTAAAGGGCAATTCTCAAATTGAGATGACTTGTTACTGAATAACTACACATAAGACTCCACTTAAAGACTAGATATAATGAACAAGTAATATAAAATTTAAATTCAGAGGAAAAAGAGATAAACAAAAGGAAAACATTTTAATCTTTCGTGCCAAGTTTACTTGTGATCTGTGTTCTGCATGTAATTTCTTAAGGCAGAGCCATGAATTTTTGGCACGGGAATATCACATTAGAATGTGCACTTGACTTCTAGCTAATATTGGACAAATGCTTAGAAATGAAGGGTAGTGAAGTTTGACATGAGGTGCTCAAACCATGCTAAATAATCAGGCAGTTCATGGCTCTCTGGAAACGTGACTTTGAAATCAACGTTGAATATGCATACTTCTTTCAGTGTCTGGATCCCATCAATTTAGAATCAAAATCTCCTTCCCACAGCCACTTCTTCCATCACTCAGGAACACTAGCATTTTCCTGTCTCAGCTGTCTGGGTGCACTTTGCTCCCTCCTAGCCCCTGTGCTGTGTTCCCATGAAGGAAGTTCTCACGTGGAGCCATTTGTTCAGTCTGGCCTATTTCATGTCATGTCTCAGATATGGCCTTGTGGCACTGGACAGTTCTCCCCGTGGCTTTGTCTCACTGGCTCACTACAAGCACTGTGAATGGATCACCACAGATTCTAGATGCTGCCACCCCGAGTGAGCACGGCTCGCAGTCAGTGAAAGTGTCAGAGGGACAAATTCCTGTGTCTCCCATGAGGTGCTGATGGGTGCTGTACCCCTCACCCTCCTATGGCAAAATAAACCTGCGCAGTCAGGACGGGCAAACCAAGAGGAAAGCTTGCCACAGAAGTACAGACAGCACCCGCCTCAAGGGGAGCTGAGAGGACAGGCGGCACCCCCGCAGGAGTTCTTCCCTCCATTGCAGTCCAGGAGGCCTGTTTCCTGCAGCAGTGAATGCTGGTGTCAGTGGTACAGGGGAAGCCCTTTCAGTGCAGAACATTCCAGTCCTGACGTGTCAGTGAAGCTCAGGGCGTGTTCCTACTGTCTACCCTGAGCCCACAAGCTCCACAGGCTCAGGGCGTGTTCCTACTGTCTACTCTGAACCCACAAGCTCCACAGGCTCAGGGCCTGTTCCTACTGTCTACCCTGAGCCCAGGTGGGCTGCCATTCACCGTGAGAGCTGCATCTGGTGAGGACTTGCCCAGAAAGGGCGCTGTGGTCTCCCCACTGCAGGAGGGCCTCGCCCTGCCTCCCCGTCCCTGTGTTCTCAGGACTTCAGGTGAGGGCTCTGTTGGAGGAGGCTTGGCAGATGCCATCTGCGGTGGGGCGGTGGCAGGGCAACCCCTATTCATTGCCCAGTGTCAGGCACTGAGCTGAGTCTGGGATACATCTGAATGTTTCTCCATATAAATCCCCATTTCTTCATCCAGTGCCATGAGCAACTCTCCTCCCATTGCCACTACTCAGTACCAACCCAACGTTGTTCTGCAGTAGTTCTCCCCAAATCCCAGGGAGGCTGGAGGGGCTCTGAGAAGACCCAGGAAGGAAAGGAGCAGGGAGAGAGAGAGGGAGAAAGGAGCTGCCCCAGATTTTCAGAGCAGGGACAGAGGTGTGACCCAAATCTTAGACTCTCTCTGGGTCAGCAGGCAGCTGTGGGGCATGTGTGGGTCCTGCAGAGCAGTGCGGGGAGCGAGGCTGCCTTTGCTGCCTCACTGACTCCTTCTGCAGTTCTGTCCACCTCACCTGGTCTCTTGACCCAGGTGGGAAGGGTAGTGGGTGATCCTGGTGCCCTCAACACATGACCGACCACAGCTCCGTGTCTGAAGCAGATATCAGACACTCTGTTAGGTTAGGGACTTAGGCAGAGAGCACACAGGCAGGTGCAGCTCCCCGTGGTGACAGTGGCATCTGGTGCTGGGCAGTGGGTGACATTCCTTCTTGGAAGCCCAAGTGGGGTGTAAGCAGAGTCCGAGAAGGAAAGGGCAGCCCCGGAAGATCCGGCAGGGACAGTGCCTCAGATGTTCAGAGCGTAGGAGAGGTCACAGATCCAGAGCAGCAGGGAAGTGGACCAGGATGTGGTCGGTTAGGCGGCAGGTCCGGGGAGGGGTAGCGGAGGTGATCCTCCAGTGCCTTACAACTGCTTAAAATGTACTTAGCAGAAAAAAGTAAAAATAATGAGTCCTCGTTACAAAATAAAAAGAAAATTCTGAAAGTACAGAGAAAAGACAAACTGCGTGGTGTTAGACATTGCTTCAGTGTGTAGCTATCGTGTCCATGCTGATTCACCCCTGGCCCGAGAGCGATGAGAAGCCCCCAGCGAGGCAAGCGTGCACCCCGGCCCCTGACTCCATGTGTCTCCCTGCAGGTGGGGAGCACCGTCTTCTTCAGATGCAGGAAAGGCTACCATGTCCAGGGCTCCACCACCCGGACTTGCCTTGCGAACCTCACCTGGAGTGGCATGCAGACGGAGTGCACACGTAAGTGGGACCCAGGTCTGCCTGGGCCTGTGGGAACACATACCACAGGGCGGTGAGGAGGAGCTGTTTGGCTTCCTTTGGTTTCCTCACCCCAAACCTTAAGGATTTCTTGAGATGTGCTTCCAGGAATGGCAGCAGAAGTGAGGCGGAAAGTGCAGGGGTGTGGCCCGTCTGGCTTGGGGGCCCCAGGCACAAGGAACAGGAGGTGCTGCTCAGGGCAGGGCAGGGAGGGCTGACTGCTCTTCCCGGCTGTTTCCTGGGTCATGTGCTAGGACAATGGGAGTGAATGTTTAAAACGTTATTCTTGCTATAGATTTGAACTGAGTAAGAACTGACTGTTTGAATAAGTAAAGATCAAATTTTACTTTGTGTTTCAATCATAGGAGATAGGAAAAGCTTTGTGTGAATAGCTAGTAAATCAGTAATTCACTTGCTATTAATTTATCTAAGTATTGTGCCTCTACTGTGTTGAACATAAAATCATTAGTAGGTAGTTAAGAAAAATTATTTGAGTAGAAAATCATGATTTTTGTGTATTTGTCAGTATTATGATGTGTTTTATTTGAGTTGCCATTTCTACATCACTTATTGCACATATATACATATATATTAAATATGACAGAAAGCTTGCTAGAAACTCATTATGTTGAAAATTTGGACGGTAGGTTAAAGGTAAAATATTGACAATACATAAAGCAATTGCTTTCATCATTTTAAAATTATAAACTTGTTTTATGATAATCTGCCAAGTTCTTTATTCCAGATGTATATAAGAAGTTGAACTACAAATAAGCACTACAGTTGCCTTTATTCCTAAATTATGTTTTTGAAGAGTATACATTATTTTAGAGAAGTCTGCATACACATCAAATTTCCTACCACTCACTTAATTGAACCCTGAGTATTTGTCAGCACCCGATGGAAATCAAGGCATATTTGTGTATGTTTTTTCCAAGCATCAGCTGATAAGACTGACCACTGAGGAACGTTTAACATACCACTTATCTGGACTGTTTATCAGGCTTGTTCTGCTTATTTTAAGCTCAGATCTCCATTCTGAATCTCTGCACATAATTGTGTGTACTATATGTATAAAATCACTAACCAGGGCTGAATTTTTCTGTTGTATTTATTCCTTAGCCTCAGCTCATACACTAACATTGTAGTGGACAAGGTTCCAGTCTTTTGTAATGGGATAAATGCTGTGTTTTGCAGCTCACGCCTGCAGGCAGCCTGAAACCCCAGCACATGCTGATGTGAGAGCCATTGATCTTCCTACGTTTGGCTACACCTTGGTGTACACCTGCCACCCAGGGTTTTTCCTTGCTGGTGGATCTGAACATAGGACATGTAAAGCAGATATGAAATGGACGGGGAAATCACCTGTGTGTAAAAGTAAGTCATTGGTCCAGATGTGGAAGCACACCCTTCCAGGGCAGGGCGAGTGTCACCTGCCCCTTGGGTTGCAGGCAGGTGTGAGACTCAAGTGACAAGGGGTGGGCTGATCCCATCACCCTGCCTGGACATGCTCATGTGTGTGACCATGTGTGCCTACATGGGCATGTAGCTAAGTGTTTGACGTGTGGGTATTAGACTGTGCCATCCACATTTTAAGCCAAAGAGAAAAGCCATTTGGATGAAGAAAAGCATTCTGAGTTAAAACAAAAATAACAAAATATTTTCAAAAATGTATTGCTTAAAAATGAAAATGCATACATAAATGTCACCAAGTATGTGAGAATATATAAATCAAACCACCTGTGTTATTTTTAAGACCACAAGCTGTTTGGTGGCAGAACATAAATTCATATGTTCTTGATGTTGATGATATTTTTTAAGTTACAAAAGCAACTAGTGTGGAAATGATGCACTAATTACTCACCAATTCGTGTGTCTACAAATAAGAGTAATAAGCTGAGGTCTGATTGTATGATAGAAATCTCTCAAGTTCTACCCAAACAGAGATGACACCCACAGGCTGAGCTCTAACCATGAGCAGAACTTGTAGAGGAAGACATCAGAGATTTCAGCCCTGGGTTCCTGGAGCCAGTTTATTCACAGTTCTCAAGTTAGGAAATGTTACGTACATGTTTCTTTTGCTCTTCCATGTTGGAAGTAGAAGAATCTAAGCTTTAAAAAATAATACTCTGTGGCATTTTACTGTAAATCTGTGAAAGTTAGGAGATTATGGACTAAATCTAACTTACAGACCAAACTAAACACTAGGCAAAGAGAATGACTTGATGCTATTCAATGTTAGCCTTGATTTAGGGGTTGCAAAAGCTGGGGATGAGGGTGCCTTCGTGCTCCTGGGTGGCACTGTAGTGTGAGGCAGCAGCTCCCTGGCAGGACGTCCGGAGCGACCCATCCCACCCTCATTTGCAAGGCTCTCTGTTGTAGCACCTTCCACGGGGACACACGCTACAAGGGTGCACCTCAGGCCTCCCCACGGAGCCAGCTCCCCACAAACACGAAGCACAGCCTGCTGCCGATACACGGGTTTAAACGTATGTGTATACCATATTCATATTTCATAGGTTTAAAAAATCTGGAGAAAGGAAAATTGATTCAACTTGACATTTTTTCAACTTTATTCAAAAAATGTTTTGAAAATGATAATTTGTCTTTTTACTTGTAGGTAAAGGAGTGAGAGAAGTTAATGAAACAGTTACTAAAACTCCAGGTTTGTATACCAGAACAGTTGTAGATTTCAATCACATGAACTGGCTTACTCTCTCCTGTCCTCTACACAGCAAAATGATTTTTAGCCTTTGGATCTCTGAATCCATTCACTCTTGGCCAAGTTAGGGTTTCAGACCTTGATTTCTTGCACCTCAGTGGAATTTTGGTGGAAGGGAATCATACAGGAGCAAAGCCCTGGGACCGACTGGTCACCACTCACTGTAGGATGCCCTGTGTATCTTGGGGTCAGAGAGGGACACAAACGGACCCCAGTGTGGTACGACGGAGAGCCTTCTAAATAGGGTTGCAGCCCCTCCTCCTGCACACAAGGAGCACACAGGGCCGGGACAGTCATTTGATCAGTTCAGCCATGACTTCCACTCAGGTGTCCTTCAGACCTGCTGGAGGTGGCCAAGCGTCTGTGAGGTTCCTGCTAAGTCCTTTTGAAGGATGGCACTCTCTCTCCCAAGAGAGTTCTGTTACTGGAAATCATCTGGCCTGGTGGATCAGTGATACAAATCTGGTTAAATAGCAGAATGTATCCTCAAATTATATTAAGCCAACCTTCTTTCTTTAAACCAGAAGTAGTAAACTTTATAAGTGAGACTACTTGACTAGCATTTTTCTTATTTGGGTTTTAACCCAGGATTCTTAGACATAAAGCTCTATTTTAACATCAATGTGGAAAAAACATTTGCAATGCTATTAATTCAGAATGCTGTGTTACACATTTAAGTCTTAGATGGGGTAAAATGTACCAACTTAGAGAAATCTCTCCAGTGTACACAATGAAGAATGAAGATGTTTTTATATTTATGGACTATTTTATGTAAATATTACTTAGAAACAAGTCACAGAAGTCATTACTCTATCCAGGCAACACTTTCTTCAATGGAAGAAAACATAATACGTATTTTTGATGATGTTGTGTTTTTTTCTGTTTTTTTATTTCCTGCATTCCTGGTCAAGATAGTGCAGTATCTGTGAATGCTTCCTATAGGCCCACATGTTGTTAGCAATGTCTTTTCTGCTTCTCCTAAGGGAAGCACCTAGTTAAATGTGGTTCTTTATCAGGGTGCAATGTTCTCACACAGCTTAACTGTTCCATTGCCACTTTATGCTTGCGCGCTGCCAGCAGTCGTCAGATGCCATGGACCCAAACAGCTGGCCACTCCCCCATGACCAGGGTCCTAGTCTATGCTACCCATGCCTCAGTCCACCCAGTGGGGCAGGCCCGTTAACACAGTGCTCCAGGGAGTGTGGCTCAGGGTGTAGGTGGGCACACACATCCAGATCTTCAGCTGCGTATGTGTTCTAACTGGGCAAAGCAGCTAGAAACAGCTATTAATTTTAGCCTCTAAATCAAAGCATTTTAATTGCAGTGTCCCAATTTGAAAGAGGGCCTGTCTCAATTTGAAAGAGGGCCTGTCTATGGGTGCTTATGATGAGTAAAAGTGTTTGATGTCAGTTATTCGTAAGCAAGCGCCTTAGACGTCAGTAATTTATAAGCAAGTGTTGGTTTCTCAGTTTTCAATTTAGTTAATTTTATTACTTTTACTATTTTAGTCCGTAAGTTGAGACTATGCAAACATGTAGGAAGCTACCGGCCTTTGTTCTTCATGGACTACCTGTGGGTAGGCTGAGTCTTGTACATGTGGTGGGGGGACACTAGGAAGACAGGAGAACAGCCCTGTGGGCAGAAAGAGACACATGACCTGGGAACAATGTGTCAAGACTTTATCACTTCCGCTTTAACTGGATCAGCTAAAAATACATATTTAGGGTGAAGCCAATCTTCATTTTTGCCTAGCAGCTCAAAGTCCCTTGACCTATCCTACTTACAGAGCAGTGTGTCTAAATAAATGATTACACACCTCGTGAGGTAGAAAGAACAAGAACCTTCATGGAACTGTTGATTTAGATTTGTATATCATACTATGCATCTTAAACTAATAGCGTGAAAATGCTCACATTTTATATATAATTATCAGCAAAGATGTGAAAAACAAATTTAATACTGTTTCTAAGTTAGTGAAAGCAAGAGAAAGTATCTCAGTAATCTGCATGCACTCCTGCCCCACATGAATTTTACATTCCACCTTCCTTACATGAATTTAAGAGGCACAGGCAGAGGCAGTTGAGATGGGCACAGGTGCCTGTCCTGACACCGGATGGCTCACCCGAGGAGTTAGAGTAGGTGGAAGCAGGGCTGAGGGAGACGCTGACTGCATTTGCACAATGCGCCCTGAACAACGGGCAGCCTTTGCCTCCTAACTGTGTGTCCCGGAGCCTTAGCAGTGCTGGAAATGAGCTTGTGCAGGCCTCGGGCTCCTGTCCAGTGACCCGGCCCCTCCTCACGAGCCCTCCGTGTTTTCAGGTGTAGACTGGATGCCAGTGAGTCCAGGGGTCCGTCCAACACATTGCCTTTTAAGCACAGTAAACACCAGCCTACATTGGCAGAACCACTCCATGCCCCCGCCCTGGCAGGCCTGTTGCAGTGGTGCATCTGCCCTCCGAAATACATCTCCAGCAAAGCACATGCATGCTGTGGCCATCGCTCTGCCTGCTTCTCCTGACTCCTCCACACAGGACGAGGGGACTGTGCAGCAGGTTGTCGGTGAGGTCCTCGCAGTGTGCTGTGAGCGCTCCCCAACGGTGCTGTGCTTGCTGTAGTTGGTGTTGACTACACCACACATCACATGTGCTAACACCCTCTGTCCCCTCCCTTCCCACAGTTCCTTCTGATGTGTTTTTCGTCAATTCGGTGTGGAAGGGATATTATGAATATTTAGGCAAGAGGCAGCCTGCAACTCTAACTGTTGACTGGTTCAATGCAACCAGCAGCAAGGTGAACGCGACATTCACGACAGCCCCACAGGTGCAGCTGGACCTGACAGGTGGGTCGCACTGTCTCTCCCCGAGGTCCCTGGTGCCTGCTCTGTGAGCATGGCGTGATGTTGGCATTCACACCCTGGGGGGTTGGTGCGGCCTGCACCTTCTGGCAGCTGGAGAACCAGTCCAGAAGAGAATGAATTTCCCCAAGATTCCGAGCAGTACTAAGGCCCTGGTGTTTACATCCAGATGCCCGCACCCCAAGCCATGCTTCTGTGTCCTCCAGCTTAGCTCCTGCGTCCCTCCTGATTAAGGAGCACCCAGCACTAGCACGGCCGCGGTTTGGGTTTACGGGCAGACTTAGCTTCAGCACTCCATGCACATTGTCTTCAATCCTACATAAATTCTACAGTGTAAGTTCCCCATTACATATTTCAATACATTTTTCAAAAGAGGAGCAGACAGTCAGAGAGTTCCAGAAAGTCATTTTCCGAAGTTTCGTGGCACGTGATCTGCAGAGGGGAGATGGAACTCAGCAGTCAGAACCTTGAGCCCACACTAGTAACGGAGAAGCACTCAACTTCTTGTCTGAATTGTGTGATTTTTAAAACCACCGCTCTTCTCGTGACCACATAGTACTTTCCTAACTCTAAAGGTCTGGAATCCCCACCCCAAGTTCTGCACAGGATACAGCCCCAGGTCTGAGTGGTGAGAAACCCGGCATCACGCACTCTCGCACCAAGGAGTGGCAGGCAGCTGACTTGTCAATGCAGGCAGGGCGGGATCTCTGTGCCTCCTGTCGCTCTTCCTGCGTCCTTGGACAGGACAGGTGGCTTCAGTGCGGTGACTCCATGGTTCGGCATGGGGATCCCATACCCAGCTGGGAGCGTGTAAGGGGAGAGTTGGCCCCATCGAGCCCTCCTAGTGCGCAGGCCTCCTAGGCTGTGACCTCGGTGCGGAGGGCGGGGAACTGGCTTTTACCTGAGTCCATGGTGCTGCTATCTGATCTGTGTAAAGTTCCCCCAAGGGCTGTTCTGTTCCCTCCGCTGCAGCTGGAGAAGGGGGCTAGAGTTGCAGAGGTCACAAGAGTGCCCAAGGTCAGCAGCTTCAGTGGGAACGGGCCCTGTGCTGGGGGCCTGGGAGCCCCAGGAGTCCTCTGGGCCTTGGGCAGCAGGCCCCCCTAGGTGTTGCCAGAGAAACTCCCACGTCCTCCCCTCCGAGCTGACAGGACTGAACTACTGCACTCTGGTTGCGTCCCCGCCCTGATCCTCCTGTTTGCTCTCTGCCTGTACACACATTTATTTCCCCCTTTGGCAGGGAGCTAACCGCAGGCGCCACTTACTCCCCGGTGTGTACTTGGGGCCTCCCTGGGCTCCACCTCCTGCCGCTCCCTGTGGGGAGGGGCGCTGACCGCTGTGATGGAGCCACACTGCTCCTCTCCTCTCGGCGGCTCCTCACTTGCCGGCCTGGCTGCCCAGCTGGCCCAGGGTTCAGATCCTCTCTGTGCTGTGCGTAGCTGGGGTGTGAGTTACATTACAGTGCTGACCTGCCTTCCTTATGGACCCCCATCCCTAGAGCAAAGAAAACCTGGGTGCAGCGTGTAGAGTGCAGGGTCTTTTCCCTTGATTCCTCCTGTAGGGTAAAGGTGTTGGATTTGGTGCGGGGCCATACCTGCTCAGGACAGACCCAGACAAGCACAGGAAGGAGGAGAGACGGGAAGAGCACATGGATGGAACTTGCGTTTGAAGGTTCCCGGGCCCGGAGCCATGGGCAGGTGCCGCAGCAGGGACTGACCTCTGTGGTCTTTCCGCAGGCGTCTACAAGAAAGAAGAGGCACACTTGCTTCTGAAAGCTTTTCACATGAAAGGCCACGTGGATATTTTTGTGAGCAAGTTCGAGAATGACAACTGGGGGCTGGATGGCTACGTAAGTGCTTGCCAGAGGCGGGGGACGCTCCAAGGTAGGGGTGGGAGGGTGACTCTCGGAGGTTCCAGGCAGAGGAGTGCTCCTGCCCCCGCAGAGCTCAGTAATCCCAGCAACACATCAGCCCTCACTTTCTCAGCAGAAGAGAGCAAGTCTCTACAAAGAGAGAGAAGTCAGCGAGAGTGCAGGGCTGGTGCTGCCGAGTCCAGTTCTGTGCGCGCCGCGCCACATCCGTCTCAGCAGCACAGTGCACAGCCAACAGGAAACACGCTGGGCGTTCCACAAAAGCCACTCCTTGCTACAGAGAGTGGGGCCTGTAGTTCTTCAGTAACGCTGCCTGCGTCCGACTCCCTGCCGACAGGGCTGCACAGCCTCTTGGGAGGACGCAGGCCAGGGCCTGAGACACGCAGTGAACTTGCGGAATGTGGGCTGCCTTTGAACTCGGGTGTGGTCCGCCTCAGGAGGGCAGCTACCATGGCAGTGGTGGCACAGTGCGTGGCAACTTTGAGGGCATCTGTGTAAGTTTGTGAAATTCGCCTTTGTATTGCTCTCCAATATTTAGCTGTAGACGCTTCACCCAAAGGGGTTTGTAACCACGCAGCGTGGAACCCGTACGGTTAAATCTGAGCTGTGACTGTTAACACTGGCATGGGGCTGAGTTCACAACACTTCCCTCTCATACGTTCTCTCCCTTTCCTGTGTACCAGGTGTCCTCAGGACTGGAGAGGGGAGGATTCACTTTTCAAGGTGACATACATGGGAAAGACTTTGGAAAATTCAAGCTAGAAAGGCAAGGTGAGCTGTACTCACAACATTTTTAAAGCGAATCTCAACTTGGCCTTCAAATGATCGTGCTGGGAAGACGTGGAAAGAATGTGTCCCTGAGAGAAACATGAGCACCAGGACGGGAAGGGTGGGCAAAACGACAAACAAAAAGTTGGAGATAATGCAATCCATGTACTAAGCACAGAATTAATGTCCACATCACTATACCGAGAAGTGTTTTAGCATAAGAATAAAGAATGAAGATGAGTTAAATTTGAAAATTATTAAACTCTACGACTCTCAGACTAAGTTATTGAAAGTTAAAAATAAGTAGGTAAAAGTGACAAGGAAACCTATGAAAAGGTATTCAAAATACATACACACACACCAGGTAACAAATCAGTTATTGGAATGGCAAAGTTTTACAAAACAGTTTTGTGTTGATAGAAGAGCCCTTGGGGTTATAATTTGCTGGTGGAATGAGCAGACACGTACGATTTTGCAGTCCTCTTCCATTCAACAGTCCTCTCACAAATTTCTAATCGGAAAAATGTGAAAATTGCTCTTTGTAGTACTCAGGTAAGGTTGTATCAAGACTGTCAAGTAGTCTGCAGTCACTTGTACAGGGTACTCATCTGTCCTACAGGAATTGCTTCAGTGAATAATTTTCCCCTGTGAAATACATTAAATCGGAGATGATTGGGTCAGCTTGTTTGGTTCCAGGATTGAGAACTGTGTGTTGGTAGAAAGGTACCCATGACCTGCATGAGAAAGAAGTTTCCTGTAGAAAGACAGAGATCCTCCTCCTCTCTTCATCCTCTTCTGTCCTAGAGAGAGAGAAGGGAGTACAAAGGAATAGTCATGAGAGGCCCCTCCCCTCCATCCGGCCAGGATAAGTACAAAGGCACAGGCACAGAGCAACCCTGAATTGTCTTTTAATCACTTAAGGACGAGAGGTCTGGGCTGAGCTTTCAAAACAGCTCAGGAATATTGTAACACAGCCTACATTAGAAACGTTGTTGTAATCAGAATTCTCTTGAATTGAATTCCTTTACACCTTACTGTCAGGATGCCACTAACATGTTGACCTTGTGAACGAGAGTGTGGCCGCACGGGCTTTGGCCTCAGGGCCCCGCGGAGGCTAGTGAGAGAACATAGATCTGTGCAGTGTTTGTCACTGGTGAGCTCCTGAACGAGACTTCTTTGCTTGATAGTTCACAAACCTGTCTATCAACATACTTTATAAAAGTGGAACACCTGGACCCCGAAAGGAAATCAGTCGTAAATCTTCATCATTCCAAATTCAGTACCATTAAGTGGAAGACCTTTAAATTATTTCAGCAAAGGCTGAGCTAGTATTTCACATTGGCTTATATTATATCAAGTAATGGAATGGAATAAATTCGTGCACCCAGCACTAACCATAGTGCAGGTTCCCCTGTGCTCTGAGGAGAACCCCGCAGTGCCTGCCTGCTCCACAACAGTGCACGCTGAGGAACTCTCAGGACCCTGTGTGGCTATCTGAGTTTACTCCTCCAGTGAGACGGCCAGAGCTACCACTCTGGCGTGGCAAAGAATCTCCACATTACCTGATTGCTTTCTAATCTAACAACAGAAGAGCTTGTGTTAGTAAGTGAGCCTTGTTCTCCTGTGCTCACAAGATTTTTTTTTAATTTTAAAAATAAAAGGAGGAAAACATTAACAGACAACCTTTTACAAGATAGCAAAAGAACAGTACAGACAATACAGAGTTACAAACAAAGGGGTAGGAAATTAACAATGCTTGTATTACATATTGATATCTTCAAAGTGGTTTCTCATGAGAACAGAGACATGCAATATGGATCAATCAAGGACTCATAGACAGTTTCTTTCAGCAAACAAATAGGAGACAGTAGAACAACTATGTTAGCTATCCTGTGTATACATACATACAAAATTTCTCCTTCTTTCCCTTCTCTTTTCCCCCATCCCAGTTACCCTTTACCCTTGAGGACTTTCCTATCATTTCACAATGTCTATCATACCTCCGAGTTTAAATTAACTCTTTCAGGTTTTACACTAGTGAGACAATGCAGTGCTTGCACGTGCAGGTCTGATTTATGGCTATCATTAAGAAATCAACCAATAACAAATGCTGGCGAGGCTGTGGAGAAATAGGAACCCTCCTCCACTGCTGGTGGGAATGCAGACTGGTGAAACCACTGTGGAAATCAGTTTGGAGATTCCTCAGAAAACTAGGCCTAGAGGTCCCATTCAACCCAGCTATCCCCCTTCTGGGTATTTTCCCAGAAAATCTAAAAACAACATATCGCAGAGATATATGTACTCACAAGTTTACCATCAGGAAAAATGATTTGCTTGACAAAATCATGTGAATCTCAAGCAAGTCTCAGATCCATCTAATTAAGAAACTCTTACGTTTAAGTAACACTTCAGAGCAATCATTTACTGAACACTGACAGCTAACACCTATCGTTATGGATAAAGTAAACCGTCTCTTGTCTTTGGTCCTTAGATAAACTGAAAAAAATGTGGTTATCATTAAATGAACCCTGAAATCCACTTAATTTGAAAGACAAGTTTAATGCAGAACTTGCATAAGATACTCAATATAAATTGGTTTCCCCATTAAAATTGGATGAGTCCTCCTACAGGAAATGCCAGGAAATCTGTGAAAGTCATGGATCTGATCCTTAGACACCACAGTACTGAGACAGATAACCAACCACACAGCAGAAGGTCTGGATAGACCCTGCTCTGAGGTGTACACATGGCCCGTGAGCCCTCCAAAGGTGGGGTTGTCATCAGGAGCTCCATCCACGGGCCCCATCCACAGGTGCCACCTATGGACTCCATCTACAGGCTCCATCCACAGGTCCCATCCACAGGCTCCATCCATGGGCTCCATCCACAGGTCACATCCATAGGCTCCATCCACAGCTCCATCCACAGGTCCCATCCACAGGTCCCATCCACAGGCTCCATCCATGGGCTCCATCCACGGGTCACATCCACAGGCTCCATCCACAGGTCCCATCCACAGGCTCCATCCATGGGCTCCATCCACGGGTCACATCCACAGGCTCCATCCACAGGTCCCATCCACAGGTCTAATCCACAGACCCATCCATGGATCCCATCCACAGGCTCCATCCACAGGTCCAATCCACAGGCCCCATCCACGGGCTCCATCCACGCGTCCTATCCACAGGCCCCATCCGTGGGCCCCATCCACAGGTCCATCCATGGGTCCCATCCACGGCTCCACCCACAGGCTCTAGGAGAACCGTAACTAGAACAGGCATGGAACAGGCATGGGAAGGACATTGAGGAAATGGAAGGCAGATGTTGCCAGGTTGTGTGAGGTGGTGTAGCTCTGCAGCGTAAAGCAGCCTGGCAGTCCCACAAAGCAGTCGAGCACAGAGTCTCCAGAGGCCTAGCTGTCCACCCCAGAGGACCACGGCATGTGCGCACACAAATGCTTGCGGAGGAGTGTTTGTGGAAGCATTGCTTTAATAGCCCAAATGAGGAAGCAGCACTGGTTCCCGGGAACTAATGGGTACAGGAAACATGGTAATCTCTACCAGGGGAAGTTATCCAGCACTTAAAAGGCACAAAATGCAGGCGTGCGCTACTCGCCCACCTTCGCACCACAAGGCTAAGGGCCGGAAGTAGTCACAAAGGCGACCGATCGAGCAGTCCTCTTTATACACAGAGTCCAGCACAGGCAAACTTACGGAGAGAGAAAGGTGATTTGTAATGATCCAGGGCTTGAGGGGCGATGGGAAGTGACTGCTGAGGGGCCCGGAACATCCTGGGAGCCTACCCTAGATCGTGGTGATGACCACGCAGCCTGCTGAAATGCCGAAGACCGTGTGCACAGGTGTGTGCACAGTGATGTGTGGTGTTGCATGGTAGGTGCACTTCTTCTGACAGGACCTGCTCTCTAAAAAATTGAAAAGCTCAGCCAGCCACACGTGGGAAGACACCGGGCGTCCGGTGGTCAAGGGTGCACCAGCGCTGTGCACTGAGACTTGTGGCGCAGTCCCATCGCAGTGTGAAGAGGGACTGGTCATGAGGGGGCAGCCTGGCGGGGGAGGGGACAGCTGCACGCCGTGGGCCATGGCCTCTGCGGTGACCCTGGGAGATGAGGCTGGAAGCCACCCAGGATCCCTGCACAGCGGTGAGGGCAAGAGTGGTGACACTCAGTGGTGCGAATTCTGCCTGTCAGAAGTTCTCCTTAGAAGTAATCCTGTGTAACCTGCAGGACAGAGACAGGCCCTTGCTGCGGTCCTGTAGAGGAAGACAGGAAATGGCTGAAATGTGCAGTAACAATAGTCTGGCTGATGGTTTCCGGTATACCCGTCAGTAAAATATTATGCACTTTACAAGATTAAATCTCTTTCACGTGTGCCCATGAAACCGCAGAATCTATGGTTAAAGTTGAAAAGCTGCATAAAAAGTGAACATACGGTTTTCTTGACTTTTGGAAATATGTATAAGAAAGAAAAGGTAAATAATCAGTTATAGTACATTGTTGAAAGAGTATCTTAAAAAATCTGTTACCATAAAGAAGAAAACTGGCACCCAGGTGTAGTGATCGACAAGTGGTGGTCAATTTATATCCCCCAGCTGAACTTGAGTAAGCGTGGTGCTGGGTGTGGGAGGCCCACCTGAGGACTGTTGCCAGCAGCATAAGAGGCAGAACTGGAGAAGGAGAAGGGAGGCTGTTGGGAGCGGAGAAAGGCTGTTGGAGCTGGTGGAAACTGTAAGGAGCTGTTGGTTCTGTTGGAGGAGCTTGTCATGCTCGCTTTCCTGATGAACTTGGCTGTTCTTATCCTCTGAGGAGCTCAGGACCTCCTTGGCACTGAGAATGGCTTTGGTTCACTTTTGGGGAGCTCTGGTCCTCCCTGTGAGCATCACTTCCTGGCTCTGGAAGGAAAGAAGGTGCACAGCTCAGTCTCCTGGAGAAGCTTGCTACGTTGGCTTTCCTGATGGGAACTCAGCTGTCCTGCTCATAGGAGGAGCTCGGGACCTCACTGTTGCTGAGGATGGCTGTAGTACCTTTTGGGGGAGCTCGCGTTCTTACTTTGAGCATCACTTCCTGGATCCAGTATAGATCCCTCAGCCTGCTACCACAGGTCCTTCATCCCGCTGGCACAGACTTTGTGGGTTCCACCACTGACCCTTGGGCCTTCCCAGTGCAGATCTGTGAAACAGGCCTGCATGAGACATTATTGTGGGCTCTGGACCTCCAGTTGGATTCATGGGAGGCATTGTTATGGGCTCTAGGTTTTCAGCTAGACTCAGGCAGGACATTATCGCCAGATCCAGGCCCTCGGCTAGTTTCCTTGGTCTTAGTGTATGGACAGATTTCCTACACTCTCTTGTGTATGATTCTTTGGTGACTGTTATAAGTAATCTTTTGAAATACATGTTCTGTATTATATTGCTTCCCCTTGCAGTAAGCCCCAAACCGTAATACAGGGCAAAGCAAACCTTCCTTTTCCCTGTATTGTTCGTTCTTATATCCTTTTATGCCCTTTATGTACTACCGTGTGCCTGTATCACCCCGAAGCCATTCAGACAAGGCCTGATTGGACTTGACTGGGAGCCTTCAATAGCACATTCATTTCAGAGTAAATTTGGCTCTGAGCTTCACAAAGATTTTCCTCGGCACTGTTCTCTGTTGTGATGTGCTTTCCAGAATTTCATTAATTGGAATCTTTAGGTCTATTATAGACGAAAGCACATAGTTTTGTTTGAAGGTAGGTGGAAAGAGCTGTGGTTAATTTTGGCAGAATACAAGTTTATTGCAAGGAGGCAGAAGACTCAGAATTGTAGAAGTCTGAAGGATTCCTTCCCAGGGGTTGCAGAAATCTGAGTCATAGCAACCTGCGGGGTTACCTGACAAGAGCTGGAAGGTATTTGAGTGCGGACGTATTAGAGAGGCGGAGCCTTCCCTGCCCACCAGAGCGCTCCGCTCCCCTGTGGTGACCCAGGAAGGAGGCCGACTGACCATGGGCGGGGCCGGCACTGGCTGCACACTCGGCTTCGTTCTGGGCACTCGCAGTGCCCTCATTTACTCCTAGTTATGGGGTTGGTGCTGTCGGAGCACAGCCAGGTCACTGGCTGTCAGTGCTGCCCTCTGCCCCAGAGCCTGCTGGCGTGGCTGGAACGCGGGGGACACTGGGTGTGGGTCCCAGGCTCTGGCACCACGGAGCCCTGGGAAAAAGGCTGAGCCACGTTGGTCCAGCACCACTCGGAAGTCAGTGCCCTGGATACCGGCATCAGGGGTTAACGGCCCCCACGTCCACGCCTGGGTGCTCAGAGAGTCTCCCCTGCAGGGTGGCTTGGGAGGAAAGCTACAAGAGCGCACACCCATTACAAAGTACGTTCGTGTCCAAGTGTGAAGTGGTGGGCAGTGATAGCCACGCATCTACTGACGCAAGCGGAAAATACATCACTGGAAAGTGAGGTGAAAATTCAAGAACTTTAATATAAACCATATTAAGGATTATAACATTTGTTCGTTCCCTTGCGTTTCTAGTTTCTAAAAAGAAACGACATTTCTTTCAATTATTACACTTATTACACTCTGGAAATACACTTGTAAACACGAGAGCCGCTTGTCCACAAGTCTGCTAAGTTCAGAGGGTTCCGATCGTAGTTCATCATACATGTGCATTACGTGACTCCACGCAATCAGGCAGATACACTTCAAACCCTATTTTATAAGTAGAACCAGCCTCCTTCTTTGGTCATAAATACTCTTGTAATAAGTGTTTCTTGTTTTTATTTCCTGTGCCCACCTGTGTCTCAGTGACTTGCGTGTGTCTGGCCCTGCAGATACAGACTGTGGAGTGAGGGACCTCCCCTGCTTACATCTGCCTCCCTCTTCTTGGCAGAACATGTGACTGAGCATCAGCCTTCCCTGTCCTCGTGCAGGCGTGCATCCTCACCCAGAACGGGCTCTCCTTTAGGATTTCTAAGTGACCTAGCGAACTTCGGATTATGCCTAAACTAAAAGCCAGTGACACACATAGAGAGGATTAATGCCGTTTACCTCGAGATCCGGGGTACTTGCATAATTTCAGTGACTGACATTGTGCCCAATCTGGCCTTAGGACACGAGAAAGGAGCCGATACTATGGGACTCTGTATATGGGCAAAGATAAGATGCTTTCCGACAGATTCTTTTGCAAAAAAAAAAAAAACATCAACAGCTAAAAGCAAGTCAGAATGTTTAGTGACCCACTAGCCTTTCAGGTGTTCGAAGCTTGATTCTCTTTCATAGGACCGCTGAGCATCCGCAAGGAACACTCAGTTGTTTCCAACCTGGGTCACTAAGATGCACATTCACGGCTGCAGAACGGAGCTCCAGGTGGCTCCCTGTGCAGCCGAGTCTCCTGCTCCTCATAACGTTTGCATTCGCTTATGAAACTTGTCATATTTAAGCACAGGACAGCACTTGCAAATTACATATTCCTCTTCTCTTCCAGATCCCTCCAGCTCCGATCAAGACCCTTCAAATCATTACCACGGCACCAGCAGTGGCTCGGTGGCAGCTGCTATTCTGGTTCCCTTCTTTGCTCTAATCTTATCAGGGTTTGCATTTTACCTCTACAAACACAGGTACTGCACAAACACGCCTTGTCGGGGTGCTCTGGTGTGCAGCCTTGGTTTGCTCGCACGCGCATGCAGCTGTCTTTACATTGCTAAGGACTACTCATTCTTGCATTGAGAATGTGATGTGCTCGGGGGCTTTGGGGGCGGCTTGGTGTTTGTGATTTGTCTGGCTTTGCCAGTGGGACACATCTGAGTAATTGGCCTTAGGAGAGCAAGGGTATAGGTGAGGAGTCGCAGGTTTTGCCAGCAGCTGCGGGGACGCTGAGCGGCGCCCCACCACCCATCAGGAGGGAAGGGATGCTCACATGGGCTGCTTTTAGCTCCCACAAGTCCAAGATTTATGCATTTTGACTGATTCATCCTTCAGCAGATAAAATACTGAAATTTTAATATGCACTAAATAATATGTGCCCCATCCCTTGAAAAATTGTTCTGAATATTTATTTACAGATTCTTACTAACTGAAAAATAATCGGGTGAAAACAACTCTTTTGGAATGGATGTTTTCTTTGGGGTTAACTGGGATATTTAAAAAATGGTTGTGGAGGAATTACAGAGTTCCTGAAGGCATTGCTGTCGTACAGATAAGATGTCACTCAGAGGAATTTGCCAAATTGCTCTAAAATACAATTTAGAATAATAGCGTTCCTTACAAATATTACAAAGATATTCTGATCCCTGGAATATTAAACTATCTTAATTGGGCCAAATGTTTATATAATGTGCATATTTCCACTTAATCCTGGTTAAAAACATAAAAGTAGTATGGAAACAATACTATTAATGCCTTATGACAGGGCTTCTTTAAATATGTGCTTTCTTATACATTTAAAATATATGAAACATTACTGTACCTTCAAGCTTATAGTGCATTAGCTGCCCCTATGTCTGTCTTCTTTTGCCTGTTATATAATGTTCTTATTTTAAAAATGTAACCCAATGAAAAATCTGAGATGGCATTTACAGAATTAAAGGCCTGCAGGCAGGGTGCTGCTCCACGACAGAGCTCTGCTTAGCATGCTTGAGGCCCTGGGTCCCATCCCTAGCACCTAGAAAATAAATACTAAAAACAAAAAGACCAATCTGTACCACTGCTACTTCCTACCTTGAAGAAGAAGCATGCTCTGCACAGGGGTCTGAGATGCATCCTCCAGATTCCGCTCCGGGCTGCTGTGAGGGCTAGCGACGTGCAGAGCCGGCATCACCAGCTCATCCTGTCAGTGCTGCTCTCGGAAGCACATCCCTTAAGGGACGCAAACTGAAAGCATTCTTCTTGAGTCACTCCAGATCCCATCACAGCACGGGAAACTAGATAGTGGGAGTTCATAATTCCTACTGACCTTTTCCCCTTCACCCAGGGAGAGGGCCTTGTGTGTTACACACCTTGCCCACCCTTTGAGCTCTCTGGACTGCTGGATCCTTTGCATCCTCCAGGGCCCTGGGCCCTGAGCTGGTGGCTTCCTCATCCATCCACGTGCATGCCCTTGTGCCTTGGAGGTACAAATGTTCACACAAGTCTCAGAGTATCTCTTCCATTGAAAGGAAAATGCCACACGCACCTAGGTGCCCACATGTAAGTTAAACTTGACTTCCAACTGTGTCTTATTCTAAACAGGGTGCTTGCAGCTGGCCTGGAAGCTCCCCCCTGACACCAGTGCCCAGTGACTTTATGAGAAGCCCCGGGAAAGGCCCAAGTCACAGTCCCACCTGGCAGGAGGGCACTGGGCTTATGCGGCCATCGATGGCATCGTGAAGGCCCCTCCATCTCAGTGTCACTGAGTCCCAGGGCTGCCAGCTCTCCGTGGAGGCCCTGGGCCTGGCTGTGCCCGGGGGAGGAGGCCAGGCCTTGCGGGGTCTGGCTGCCTCTGGCCCTGCGTCAGAGGACAGGGTTTGGCCGCACCCACCTCTTTTTTTTTTTTTTCATGAACAGATTACACCTTGAGAGATTCAACTAGTGAATCACTCAAGCAATTTCTTTACATCAGTATTAGGAGGTACTTTTGCCATTGTGGTCACTTATATTAAAATTCTATTTTTAAAGGCTGGAATATTTTATTACATAAGTTTTTCTTCTGCAATAAGGAAAGAAATCAGCCAGAGTAGATGCAATCTGGTATTTCTATCTGAAATCCTCCGATGCTCACATGCTCGATTACATGCTAGGGGTTTCTTTTAACCAGAAATATAAAGACATTTGAATAATGAGAACCGTTTCTTTTCCATAAACATTCGCGTCTCACTCACCAGACACGACCTCACGTTGCACTAGGTGACCGGGGCGGATGCAGCTTGGTTTCACCTAGAAGAGCAGGCCGTGCTTTCATCTCTTTTCTGAGTAAGGAGGAGCCAGGTGACTTCACCTGTGACTTCTCAGCCCCAGACAGGTGACCATTCCCAAATACCTGACCGCACCCTCTGCAGACTTCCTGACTTCCCGGGAGCATCCTGGGTGCACGGATAGTTCTCGGGTATCAGGAGGCGCTGTCCTTGCTCAGCCGTATCTGTGGTGCTGGCTGCTGTGCTGAGAGGGTCGGCCGCGGCCTGTGGACAGGGGCCCGCCCCCCACACCTCGTGCCCCGCTCAACCCTAGCTGTTAACTCCTCCCCTGCTGCAGTCTGTTCTGACTGTGTCTACTCTCCTTCCTCTAGAACGAGACCAAAAGTTCAGTACAATGGCTACGCTGGACACGAAAACAGCAACGGACAAGCTTCCTTTGAAAATCCCATGTATGATACAAACTTAAAGCCCACAGAAGCCAAGGCCGTGCGGTTCGACACGACTCTGAACACAGTGTGCACGGTGGTATAGCCCTCAGTGCCCGGACTGACTCATAGCCATACCTCTGAAGGACAAGCAGTACTTCCTTTGGTGCCATAGACCACACTTCCTTCTACTCTTGCTTTGCTGCAGCGCCTCCTCCATCGTCTTCTGGTGTCCACGGGCGGAGCCTCCACCCACTCCCTGTGGCAGCGTCTCCCACGGACCGGACTGCAAACGAGGATTTCTAACATGTCCACCAAGACCCAGGCGCACTCCAGGGGGAAACCTGGTCCTGGGATACGCCGAGCTCCGTGCCTCAGACTCCCGTTCTCTGTGTGGCCTAGCGCCTGTCGGGGCAGCCTTGGGCCCCACAGAAGCACCCTCCCAGCACGGTGACAACAGAGTAGCACCGCAGTCTGTGTTTTTGTTTTCCTTTGATTCCCCACGGACAAGGATGCTCTAAAAGAAAAAGAACGTTTCCTTGAGGAAGACACCTAACAGATGCACACACCTGTGGATGCTTCGCTCTGTCTTTCCTGAGACCCAGCAAGCTTTGAGGACCTCGCGGCTCCCCAAGGTCCATTGTGAGGGACATTCGCCAATTTCCCAGCCAGATGTTCTATCGCAGAATTTTTGATGCACAATTTTTTGCACTAGGGTGTTATGAATGATTTAGTAAGATTCTGATAAAAAATAAACTATTCACACAGGGTTTATACACACTCCACGCTGTACAGACGTGTCCTCTGTAGTGCAGCTGCATATCCCGCCCTTGGTTCAGACAGGGTGAGGGGAAAAGAATTCCAGATACGCACAGCACAGATGCTGACAGGAACAGCAGTACTGAAGAAGCGTAGTGTATTATTGCTTCCCCTAGCTCCATGTATTCTTAAACCCGTGGAGGACGTCCAACAAGAAAAACAGAGGCCTTTGATTTTCCATGTTTTCTTCCTTTTAGGACATCATGGCTGTTTTTGTCCCTCGTGCCAGGTGGTTTGTCACAACTCCACTTGCCATGTACAGATGTGAATAGTAACTTATGTTAGGTAGCTCATGAGCGTGTGGGTTTTCGCTCACAGCCCAGTCTTCCCTTTTGCATCGCCATTTCCTGTCTTTTCCTGTGATGTCCCTCTGTGCTGTACTGAAACAGTGAGCCACAGCTCCGCCTGGGTCTGAGGCAGTTGTTCAGGGTCCTCATACAAAGTGCGCCTTCAGAGGTAGGGGAAGGTCGTGCACGCTCCTCTCGTGATGATCTGTCTTATACTTTTGTCTCACGCTTTAGAATTCCAGACAGAGGGACCATTTACGTGATTCTATAAGTTTAAAGTTCATCATAAGTAGAATTATAAAGTGTGGAATAAGTAAAATATGTCATCCTCCCCAAGTGGATAAAATTTTAAAACATGGACAGATGTGACCATGAGAATGTTCTGTAACAAATTTAAAGTGAAGATCATGTTTATTTTTATTTATAATTGTTTTATAAAGGTATTTTTGAACAGATATGCTTATTTTATTATTTGATGCTGAGGTACATATTCCACACCACACAGGTCCCCCACACACTCCCAACCTGCTTCCTCAGAACGCCAGGTGCAACTGGCGTTGCTGTGAGAACACACACACCCTCGCTTTACACCGGGAGCAGGTGTCTGTCCAGCAGGCTTGTGAGTGACACGGGAAGCCAGGAGCCTGAGGAGGCCGGTCCATCCCTCTGAGAGTTGCGTGCTCCATTTGGAGCATCCTGTAAGTCCTGTCTTGGGCTCCCTCTGTTCCACCTTCCTTGGAAGAGCATCAGCTGCCAGGAGGGCTCCCTGCCACTTGTGGTGTGTGTGCCTGAGTCCACACTGCTGTGCTGAGCTTGGGCATGCTCTCTGGGGTCCAGCTCACCCGTGGGGACCCTTCCCTCTCCTTTCTGGGTCGATTCGGTGAGGTCCATGGGAGCCATGCTCCTGACACACATTTAAGCGAAGTGGACAGCAGAAAACAGAAGTTCGAGGACCATTGTGTGCAAGGGAGAACAGGGTCACTATATATATATAAGGTGTATATATATATACATATATCTATATATATTGTACATATCTAAGTTTGATCACTCAGAACAGGTGCAAACTGCTGACTCGAGAGTCTGATGAACTCCTTGTCCCCACGTGCCCGACTTGCTTGCTGGTCAGTGACGGAGTGAGTCCTGCAGCACCAGGAGGAACGCACACACAGGAGCCCACGCGTCGGACAGGGTGGAGTCCCCGCGTGGCAAGGCCAGAGTGGTGCGTGCTGTCTCCACGCGCAGACGCACTGAGCTGAGTCCTGGGAGGACTCCTGGCTTCCCCCGGGAGTGTGCGGTGTCTCACCCTGTCCCCCTCCCGCCCCCAGGCGCTGCGGCCCAGCAGGGCGGCCAGAAGCGCGTGTCGGGTGAGGCTGCAGCGGAGCGGGGCACAGCCCCACGGGCTACGGGCCTCAAAGCTGTGTAAACTGCTGCTTGTCCCCCACATCTTGCCTTCCTTCAGGCTAGCTGCAATAATTTTTTTCTTCTGTAAAATATTTTGTAAGCAACAGCATAAAAAGCTACTATAGAAAGGGGAGAAAGAAAGCTGGCACCATGGTCAGGAAACCCACCGCCATCCCCACCCGTCACCCACACGCTGCTGTCACGAAGTAGGTGCAAAAGACCTTTTTGTACAGAGATATATTTTTTATGAAGAATTTGTAAAATTATTAAATATGCTGTAATTTTTTGATTAATGTAGGTAAATTGTTAAAAAAATAAATGTTTTTACAATACAAAACTGTAATTTTCCCAATAACGTAAAATGTACCATCTCTAGCTGATTCTCCGTTCCAAACCTATTACACGTGTATTAATATTAAAGTGGCCTGTTAAAATGAACAGTATCTTTTTTTGTCAAAAAAATTATACAGAGAGTGTAACATAGCCTGTGCAATGCCACCTATCTTTAAAGCAAATCAGAGTTCTAATTAAATATTTAATTTTAGATTTCTACTTTTTTGTGTGGCTTTGTTTTAGCTTTGATGTGTCCACGTCAGCCGGTCACAAGGGCAGGAAGGAGCGAACGAGCGTGACAAGCCTGTGTCGTGTTCAGGGTGTTTAGGGTGAAATTCCCTCCCTAGACGTCCAGGTCCGTCTTCATTAACAATCAGCACTGTGTCAAGGACCCATGACACAGAGCCTCATGTGTCTGCAGATTTCTTGCTGGTTTGTGTTGAAAACCAACATCACACCTGTGGTTTTATGATTCCTTTTGTGCTTGAGAAGTCTATTTCTAAACTTCCGCAACACTGCAAACGGGCCTGTAAGGAAATCACAGTCATATCTGCCTCACATGTCAACTACCACATGCGAGGAACCGCACGGGGTGAGTCTTGCCCCTCACCCCTTGGGTATTACCAGCCATCGTTCCTTGGCTGAAGGGACCAGCCTGGCCCAGAAGCAGAGCATCTCGCAGACAAAACGGATGTGCTATTAATTTCCCTGATCAAGTCATTGCAGAATAAACAATAATGCAACACAGCTCCATGCTGCTGCAGAGTGCCGGAGCCTGGCATCCACCTTCTGTCCTTGGTCTGCCTGGGCCTGGCCAGTGCTCAGCTGCCCATGACCGAGGCCCAGCTGACCACAAGACACGGCCGACTTGGGCTGCAGTGTTCATAGTGCTCCTAACGTGGCGGGGCAGGCGTGGCCATTTTTATAGATTAGGTCTGGAAGGAGAAATTCAGATGAGCTCATTATTCTACACAAAGGAGTGCAGAATAGGTAAAGTGTAGAATAGTAAGTGTAGGGTAAGTGAATGTCAGAGGCACTTTCTGTGTCATCTACAATGTGACATTTACAATGTCATCACTATGACATTCCTTTTTACAAAGAATCACACTGGCCACTGTCAGTGAGCCCCACGGGGGTTAACACCTCCCTGAATCTTTCTATCACTCTCCCTTCCAGCCTTTCCCCCACACTTGGTAAACCTTGTAATCCCTGAAAGTCAGGATCCCAGGAGAAACAAACACAGTTTTGCCTTAACCTCCCCCACACTCTCTGCAGTTAGGTGGCACAGGACAGTGAATCCCGAACCTCTGCCATGACCCTGTGGGTCCTTGTCTCCCTGGAAACCACATGACATCCCCCTTCTAGTTGGTGTCCCGCCCGTCCTTCCAGAAGGTTGGCTGGCAATTCACACCTTCTTCCTCTGCCTGGAATGTTTGTTGAGAGCAGCATGAATTTTTATTGACTTTATTAAGCTTTAAAGAAAATTTCCTGTCAGAGTTAAACAGGATTAAATAATATATATTCTCTCATTTGGGGAAGTTGGCATTCATTTAAGGAACATGCTTGTGGGACAGCATATTCTAACTTTTCAAATCAGGAAGAGCCCCTGGTTCTGCCAGGGTCTTTGGTTCTCCTCTGGAAGATTACAGGCCAGGGCAGCGGGCTGAGAAGTCAGCACAGACCCATCTGCCTGTGTGCACCATTCCTGGGGTGAGGTGTAGAGAATTCTTCCCCATGGAGCCTCCCTCTTGGAGACCCTCATTGTTTGAAAACTGCCATGCACAAGTGAAATAACTCACTGATTTTAGGAAAATAAAGCCCAGTAGGAAGCAGCTCTTCTTAGTCAGGCTGGGACCAAAGTCACTTACAAATAGCCCAGTGTCCTGTCTGCAGCTTTGGACTGGGGCTGTGAGCTCTGCCTCGGCCGCTGCCTCTGGAGAAGGGCTATAGAGTTTGGGTGGGTGCCAGCACTGCTGGAGGTGCTCTTCTGAGAAGTGGGGCAATGCCTGTGAAGAGCAGCTGAGGGCCGGGGTCAGCCAGGTCCCCTCAGCTCAGGCCTTTGTCTTCGTATCTATACACTAGTGCTCCCTGGGGAAAGGATGTGACATTTCTCTGTACCTTGGTCCAGACCAAGCAATCCAGTGCAACGATAGGAGAGTGGCTCATCCAGGGAGCTCCTAAGGGGATTGCTGGGCAGTTCTGACTTTTTTTTGGTACCGGGAATCAAACTCAGGACCTTGCACTTGCTGGGCAGCTCTGAAGCAAGTGTCTGCACATGTGTCTCCCTCACCCCAGGAATGTGCAGGTTTTCTCAGAGAAATTCCAAACAAACAAAGAAGAAAACAACAGAAAAGTAGAATTAGCAACCAAAAACTAGTTTTCAAGTGACCCAAAGATTCTCCAGACAGAGAGTGTGGAAGTTTATAATGAACATGGCTGTGAACCCAGAAACTGTTTCTCCGTCTAGTGCACTGGACACTGAGGGGCCAAGGTCTTGCTCTTGCAATTGGCAGTTAGAAAGTCTGGTCAGTCCTGCTTGGACAAGTTGGTTTTGGAATAACAGCAATCATTTGCATACCGGCTACAAGTGAATTAATAGCATTGCAGAGTTACTAAGGCAGCAAGAAGGGGTGAATTTCTCAGCAGCCAGAACAGCTGCCAAGCTCTTGCCAGTCATCACAGGACGTCACACTTGTGGCCTGTTCTCCGCACACTGGTCTATTCTCCAAGCCAGTGGAGAATAACAGGAGGTAAACACAGGAAAACTTAGGTAGGGGTCCTCCCTGTGTGGAGCAGTGAGGACGGAGGGCTGCACACTGTGCTGACCTGTGCAGCCCTGGAGCCTGCCCAGCAGGACGGGATGAACCAAGAGTGCAGGGACCTCCCCACAGGACACATCTGGAGAGACCTGGATATTATGCCAATTTCCAAACACATCATTCAGAAACTTCAGGGCATTGTCAGTGTGGAGTCTGGAGGGTTACTAATTCTAGGAACCTTGACCTGAGAAGAAGAATTGTCACTAGTGCAGACCGTATAGGAGGGAGCATTGCACTTACCACACTGTCGACCATTATGGGTTGGACAGTAGGAAGGGGAAGAGTCTCCTGGGTGGTGTCATCGCTGCACACATGTGCTGAACTTGGTCTGTCATGATCCTGGAAAGAGGAGTCGCATTTTAAGCCCTGCTGGCCTGAGCCAATGGAGCGTCCCCTCCCGCTTTCCAAGGTCTCCCAGCCATGGAAAACAGCCCTGCCTGCGAGGGGAGAGTTCAGTGACTCCCCAGTGACACAGCGGGAAGAAGCCGCCTTTTGCATTTCTCCTTTAAAGCCCCAGTGTGGCAGATTACAGCATCAGACGGCTTCTCAAGACAGACTTGAGTTTCACGGTACGAAAGGCCTCTTCACCAGCCATGCGCAGCTTGGGTCACAGCACACAGGCTCCTCCGGGTCCAGCGGGCCGTCACCTGGCAAATCTGCCCCTCTCCGTGGACACGCCAGCAACACACATTGCACTGGCAGGACCGGCGTTTACGTGTCTCCCTAAAGCCTGTGCCCTCCTCGGAGGGGCTCTGGGGAGGTGATTGGATCACGGGTGCCTGATACTCAACTGGATCTGTCCACCGATGAGTCTACAGCCCAGTGTGATGCTGGGAGTGAAGCTCGGGGAAGGATGTGGGCCACTGGGCGGGGTCCGGAAGGCCTATCTCTCCTGTCCTCCTTGGTTTCTCTTTCCTTCTACTGCCAGTCCACAAGCAGCTCTCCTCTGCGAGGCTCTTCTGCCATGCTGCCCCCGCCTTAGTGACAGTCTGGACTGAACCTCTACTGTGAGCAAAATAAGCCTTTCCCCGTTTGACTTTGGGTGTTGGGGTGTATTTTGTCTCAGCACGGAGAAAAAAGTAACTAAGACAATGCACAAAGTCAGGCGCACACACTCGCACACACTCGCACTCTCAAACACAAGGACCTGACCGGAGCCAGAAGGTGGTGTTGGGTGAGGAAATTTGATCACAGTGTGCAGGTATGAGAGCACCGGAGAACGAGGGGAAAATGGGAATTGAAAATCTTTGGCTGTGTTTGTATTTAAAGACATTTAAAGACTCTCACTTTAAAAAGTGGTCAACTCAGGGTATGTGTGAATACTGGGGCTTCTCATCCACCAGACGGGGCACAGAAGGACTTTTCCTGTGCCTTCATGTTCTTTGCTTGACATTTGATGCAAGGAAATCATTTCCTAGGCAGAATCAGAAAGGAATATTTTTTTTTGTATTTTAATTTTAATTTTATTAGTACGTGTTTGTAGTTCATGCAGTTTGCAGTCCTCTTGTGGGAGTGTTTATATGCACATAACGCAGCTCATTTCTCTTTTTATTTTAATTCCACTGTCCCTTCCCTCCATCCTCCTTCAAGTCCCCTATCCCGATTTTCCTTCTTGTTGATATTACTGATATAAGTTCATGCTATGGTGTATAATGTTTATGTTAATTGAAGTTATTAGGTTCCTGCACATGGCATATCTTTATTCTACTTATTTCTCCTTCCCCTCCTCCTTACCTTTGTGCTTTTTCCCTAGGACCACTTTCCTATTGCAAGAGATCCATGTCCTTGTCCCCTTCTATCCATCCTTACTACTCTCTTTGTACTTCACTCAAATGAGAGATATTTAAGAGATTTTCTTAAAGGATGCACCAAAGTACTTTAGAAAACAGTAAAAGTGTAGCTGATTCAGATAGCAAAATTTTAGACAAATTGAGAATTAATAGGAGGGAAATTGGAATAAGATACTCACAGAAACTGTAAAGCAATTCTCAAAATAACGGTGGTGAAGGAAAGTCTTCTCAAATAAGATGAAAACCCCAGGAGACTTAAATACACTGTCTTAACATACTAAAGTGAAATCTGGAAAACAGACACTCAAAACCAAAATAGTAATAAAACCATGAATAAAGATTTGTTGCACATACCATTTTTAAATATATAAATATTTATGTAAAAGTACAGATAACAAGAAAAGTAAAATTTTATACAGGCAAGTGGAGGAGAACTGATTACACATACACCTGCTTCTTCAACTGCACTCCCAATGTTTTAAGTGTAAGTTAAAAGCATTAGAGTAACTTGTTGCTTATCATGTAGGCAAAGTTTGGGGATGGTGGTGTGGAGAGAGCAGAGGTGTGTTCCAG